CTTAAGGGAGAAGATGGGCTCCTGGCATCTAGTGGTATCGCCTGCAACGTACAGGAAAGCCCTCACCCCTTCCACCCGAATCATCTGCAAACTAAAGTCAGTCAAGCAGGGCTTGAGAAACTCTCTTCTAGGGGAATAAAACTTTGTTTGCTATGCTATTTATTATGGATTAGGACCCAGACACCAACTTGTAGAAAACGTGATGAGAATGATTTTTATCTGATAGAGATTCAACTTATTTCTGTGCAGTAGAGAAGATAATCTAAATCTTAGGGTTGGATTGTCCAGCAAGATAGTGCCTTAGTTCTCTATTATTGTGTAACACGATACCCTAAAACTTAGTGGCTTAGAACAACACTAAGCATTTATTATTTTTTTAATTTTTTTAAGATTTTTATTTATGTATTTGACAGACAGAGATCACAAGTAGGCAGAGAGGTAGGCAGAGAGAGGAGGAAGCAGGCTCCCCACAGAGCAGAGAGCCTGATGCGGGGCTCGATCCGAGGACCCTGGGATCATGACCTGAGACAAAGGTAGAGCTTTAACTGACTGAGCCACCCAGGCGCCCCTAAGCATTTATTATTATCATGGATTCTGTGATTTAGGAATTCATTAAGTGGCTTTGATATGTGGAGAAACAATTTTCAGATGCTCTGTAACAATGTGGCTTGTTTTCCGTGCGGGGTCTTCTGACATTAACTATCCTTTTTCCCCCTCCTCTACTATGCCCCTGGGGTTTTTGTTTTGTCTTAACTGTTAATTTTGAGCTTTTATCCAAAATTTGTGCAAAGTTCATTTAGGGAAGGAGACAGGATGATGTCCAGGCCAGGTGAAATTTGTCATGATCCTGGGTTTTGCATGTAAATTCAATTAGCAAAGGCTAATTGGCAGAGATTGGCAATTGTGGATTTTTTTTCCCCCCACCACAAGACTGTAGCACTCTGCTATGGTAGAGACAGATGGTTTTCTTGCAAATATTCCATGTCTGTGTGCTCTGCTTCTCAGAACAAACCAGGTTCTATTATCTCCTGCCACTGACTGGTTGGTGCATTCCTTCTACTGTAAACAAAGGATGAGGCTAGTACTTCTGAATGTGCCTCTTTGTGTTGAGGGGGTTTTCGTAGTGGTCTTTGTAATCTCTCTACTACAGCATCTTCTCTCCAGGCTCTCCTGCAAACCTCTGATCAATCTCTCATGTTTTGGGCCCATCTTTCCCGTTGGGCCCAGGATTTCAGATCCCTCGTTAGTTGCTCCGCAAGTGGAATTTGTTTCTTGTTTTTATTCTTGTTGTTGTTTTAATGATTTCCAGTAGATTAGAAGTAATGATTTCTTTTTCTCTAAATTTTTTTTTAGTTTTTTTTTTTTTTTTTGACAGGGAGAGCCAAAGAGCAGAAGTGGGGAAAATGGCAGAGGAAGAGGGAGAAGCAGGCTCCCCGCTGAGCAGGGAGCCCGATACGGGGGCTCAATCCCAGGACCCTGATATCATAACCTGGGCCGAAGGCAGACACGTAAATGACTGAACCACCCAGGCGCCCCTTCGCTACTTTTTTTTTTTTTAACTACAAAACGTCAGAAAAGCTGAAGATAGTACAATGAATACCCAGACCATTTACATAGATTTAACTGTAGTTAACATCTTGCCACATTCGCTCTCTCTACACAAAAATTTTTTCTTCACTGAAAAATTTAAAGTAAATACAGATATACTTCAACCCTAAGTATGTTAGCAGGCATTTCCCAAAAATGAAAATGTTCTCTTATGTAATCTTAAAGTCATTATCACACTGAAGTGAATAAACTTTCATTCAGTAAGTTATTTAACATATACACTATGTCCCCTCAGAGGAGAATATGTTCCAAGAGCCCCCTAAAACTGCAGATAGTACTGAAATCTATGGATGTTACATTTTCTCCTCTACATATATACCTATGATAAAGTTTTATTTTATTTTTTTGTGAGAGAGAGTGTGTGCACAAGCAGGGGGAGCAGCAGGCAGAGGGAGAGACAGGCAGGAGAAGCAGCCTCCCCACTAAGCAAGGAGCCTGATGTGGGACTCAATTCCAAGACCCTGGGATCATGACCTGAGCTGAAGGAAGGCTCTTAACCAACTGAGCCACCCAGGCATTCCTATGATAAAGTTTAATGTATAAATTAGGCATAGTAAGAGATTAACAACAACAACTAATAACAAAATGGAGCATAACAAATTAACTGTAACTGTAATGAAAATATGTGAACGTGGTCTCTCTCAAAATATCTTACTGTGCTGTACTCACCCTTCGTCCTCTGTCACATGACATTCTGCCTCCATGATGGTGAGAAGAAGTGAGGTGACGCCTGCGTTGTGAGGCTAAATGTTGCTGCGTCTGACGTCCAACGTCCAATGTCTGACGTTGCATTAGGCTACTATTGACCTCTGACCTTCTGACAATGGGTCAGAAGGAGAAGCACCTGCTTCCAACAGTGTTGCCTGCAGGTGACTGGAACTACGGAAATCAGAGCTGCAGAGAAGGGGGACTGCTGATGTCCGTATTTAAATTTCCCTAATTGCTGCCCCCAAAGTGTCTGCTTTATTTATTTTTTGATCCAAAATCCCATCAAGGTTTACAACATATTATGGTGGCTGTTGTGTTTCATTTGGTTAATGCGTTTCATGTGATCCAGAACTGCTCCGTCCCTCTTTTTTTTTTAAATTACGTTTTATTTTTGAAGTTTCAGGCCAGCTGCCTTAGAGAATGCAACCAAACAATGCTTTCCTTATGCTATTTTGCATAAGCTGCAAGTCACTTCTTTTCTGAATAGATATGAGTTCCAGTGTGCGTGTTATTCACATTTTAAAAAGAAAATAGATACTTTTATTTGAGATCTGAGTACGCTCTAGACTTCAGGATGCAAGTTTTGGATGCAACTTGGAGGAAGCGATATCCTGATGATCTTTAAATCCCAAGTAATTTCCTATCATTTCCACCCTCAGCTGGTGTAAAATAGATTCTGGTTATCAAATGAATGGTGTACTTTTTATATTAAAATTTAATTGTTTTCCTCTATTTTTTTTTAAGATTTTATTTGTTTATTTGACGGAGATCACAAGCAGGTGGAGAGGCAGAGGAGGAAGCAGGCTCCCTGCTGAACAGAGAGCCCGATGCGGGGCTTGATCCCAGGACCCTGGGATCATGACCTGAGCTGAAGGCAGAGGCTTAACTCACTGAGCCACCCAGGCGCCCCTTGTTTGCATCTTTTAAACTAAATTCCTTCAAGAGCCAACAACCTCTTAACCTATATTCCTCTAAACTCTAAAATTTTAAATATAGGGTTAACCTATGTTCCTCTAAACTCATTTACATTTTACCCATTTTGTTTCTTAATTTAGCCTACCTATTTTTTTTTTTAAAGATTTTATTTATTTATTTGTCAGAGAGAGAGAGGGAGAGAGAGCAAGCACAGGCAGACAGAATGGCAGGCAGAGGCAGAGGGAGAAGCAGGCTCCCTGATGAGCAAGGAGCCCGATGTGGGACTCGATCCCAGGATGCTGGGATCATGACCTAAGCTGAAGGCAGCTGCTTAACCAACTGAGCCACCCAGCGTCCCTAGCCCACCTATTTTTCAATCAGAGAGAGAACAGCCAATGTTAAGAAACAGACCAGAATTAACCCTACATACACATAGTGCCAGGAATAAGAAAAAGCCCTTTAAATATTTTTCCATTTATACTTCTCCATTTAAATAATTCCTTTTTGATACAGAATTTAGTCAAATGTTGGGTTTGGAGCCTCCGAAGTACACAGTCATGTAAACACATAGTCTGGGATCTTGTTGACAATTTTAGAAAAGAACTCTGCTTGACTGCAAAGTAATGTCGACTTACTTATAAGGTCTTTACAAAGTATTTTTACATGGACTATTCGACCTGATCTTTCCAACAGCTCTGTGAAGTAGTTGAGGAAGGTGGTGAAATCTCTTGTTTTCAAAGGAGGAAACTGAGCCTCCAACAGATGTACACGACTTGACCAGGGTTTCACAACTATAACTGGCAGAGACGGGATTTATTTTTTTAACTTTTTAATTTTTTTTTTCAGAGACAGGATTTAAATCCGATTGCGAATTATATGCTAGAGGCATGTTGCAGTATCTCTCTTGACCAATTTACCTCCTTAATCAAAAATCAGGGGCGCCTGGGTGGCTCAGTGGGTTGAGCTGCTGCCTTCGGCTCCGGTCATGATCTCGGAGTCCCGGGATCGAGCCCCGCATCGGGCTCTCTGCTCAGCAGGGAGCCTGCTTCCTCCTCTCTCTCTGCCTGCCTCTCTGCCTGCTTGTGATCTCTCTGTCAAATAAATAAATAAAATCTTAAAAAAAAAAAATCAGTGTGTTTGTTTTAGGAATGCTAAGGTTCCTACCATCAACAACAGTTGGGTGCTCCCTTCCGTAGGAGTCCTGCCTTCACTGTTACACAGCAAGCCCTTTGGACCTTTGGAGAGACTCCGTTACCCTGGACATCTGGGGACATTATTGCATCAGGAGGCCACCACTAACATAAAGTGTTCAACACCAACTAGGCCCACCCTCTGATTAGGCAGATCTAAAAAAAAAAAAAAGCATCAGTCCAATTTGTACATTCTTCAAGGTAGTCCCAGTTGCAGCATCTAACATACTCTCTCCTGGTATCTAACGACAGTCACTGTTAAGAATCTGGTTTCGCTTTTGCCTTTCACCTAAAAGGTATTAATGATCATTAAAGCTACAAAAGGGAAGTCCGGAGGGACCAGACGTCATAGTTCTTTTCCCTTCGCTGTGGGTTTGCCGAATTTACTTATCTTACTGCTAATGGGAAACTGACAGATCGGAAACCTCAGAGTCACCATTGATTGTGAGTAAATAATGTAACCAACATTACAAAGCAGCTTCATTGTGGACACATTCTTCTTTAGCAAAGTCATAACAGTAGTGTGTGTGTGTACCTGTGTGTATATACACGTATGCACACAAATATCCGTTTGTTTCATTTTCTTTGTTGTTCATATTTATTTCTTTTTTAGTTGAAGTACATTTAGTATCTTTGTCACAGGAAAGCTGACACTATAAAACTCTTCTTATATATGAAAACTCAAAAATAACCCAAACTAAGTGACGAGTGAAATAATCGCTTTGAGAGGAAAAAGAACAATCCAAGTTTTCTTCCTGAATTTTCTTAAAATTAAAAAAAAAGAAAACAAGAATGTTTCATGTACTTCAATTGCCATTTTCTGTTTGTATTTCATTGCATTTGTGACTAGGAATAGATAATATATACACACAGAGCCAACATTGGGGATGGCTGCTTGCTTTCTGAGGTGCTTTGCAAATGGTGAGTTCTCTTATTACGTAGTTTATTCAAAGCTCCCTCAAATAATAACTTCAGTTAATTTGCAATATTTCTGCAAATCGATTTCTCAATCTGTTTGGCACCATTAAGTCTGTGCTAGCAAATCCAGAAGTGTACTTTAAGGCACCATCTCTCCAGAGGGTAGAAATCAAATGTTGCTTTTCTTTGTGCATCTACCACAGGACCTGCCCCAAGCAAGTGGTCAAGTGTTGGGTGAGTAGAACTGTCCTCAATTTTATATAATGAAAAAAAAGAAGAAAGGTATTTCTTTACTGAAGTGACTGCGCCAAACAGAAATAAATTCAGTCTTATATGGTAGACACATCTGAACTCCCAATGAACCCCAGTGCACTTCTGTGGGTACAATTTCTCACTGGCCACATGGCAGCAGGTCATTCCCCTTGTCCAGTGGCTCAATCCATTTTCCCTATTTGAACACCCTGAACTAAGTTCTTTGTCCTCTAATCATGTAAAAAACAGACCCATGCCTAGTTGTTTAGGTCAAAGGGAGACACTGAAAATACTGATACTTTAAAAGCTGAAATGAAATAGTATTAATCCAAGGTGGTTCCTGATGATTTGATTTCTATGACTATTCTTTAATTATGGATGGCAATTTCTTAGGAAGAGGACAAAAGCTCTCTTTTATAACCAAAACTTTTCGTTTTTAATAAAGTTCTTAAAACTGTTTTGAGTTTTTAAAGAATTGCTGGTTGTTTTTCATTTCACTAAGTGGTTTGCTTTTCTCCTAAATTTTATTCCCCGAAAACTTAATTGATTTTGTAATCACTATCCACATTTTTTTACTGGCAATCTTAACAGGAGTCTTAAGAAAAACGGCTAAACCTAGTCAGCTAAGACAAATACACTTAATTTTCCCTCACGACAATTATAAATATCAGGAGAGTTTTCATGGCTGTGTCATAGCTTCCTTATGATGCAGAACTGGTAAGACTTATGTGAATATAAATGTATGACTTGTTACACATTGTAATAGCCACTGTAGGGTAAGAACAATGTAAACATCTCCTTGTGTTAGAAGAAACACCTCATTCCAGGATCTAAAGAGCTTTCTTGTCCCTCAAGAAAATAAGTCCTGGTCCCATCCAAAAAGCACAAAACAACAACAACAACAACAAAACCCCTCTAAACTGATTCCTCCTCCACCAAAAGTTTACAAAAATACCGAAATAATATTCTCACAAAAAAGTAGAGTTTAGAGAATGTGTATCAAGTACATGCAGAAAAGCTTTCACTTCACTCATATATAATTGGGAAAGATACAGGAGACATCTACCAACTACATCACCCAGACCTGGTGACACCTGAACTAGGGCCTGGGGAGGAGGAAATAAATAGTTCATGTGGTAAATCCTCGGTCCCATAGTCCAATCAGGAAAACCCCATGGAGTCATCAGGCAGTCAAAGTCCAAGATATCTTTTCAGATAACTTCCTGAGTTGGAGAGTTCTTCAGACTTTCTCATCTTGCTCCTTCCAAATGCTGACATTATTGCCTCCAGTGTCCTCAGCCCGAAGTCAGCCATCCTGAAATATGAATCAGAATCTGTTGTATGGCTGGATCACATTTAACCAAATAAGAATATTCTTAGAAAGTGGCTTATCAGTTACATTTGAGGGAACATCTCAAATCATCAGTACTTTGTACCCTTAAGATTTAGAGGGAATGAAAAGACCATGTAGTCTATCTACCCAGCTAATGAAACCTTAAATCTTATGGAGTCCAACAAGGTCCTTTACATTAACGCTCCCTAAATAAGGTGCATCCCAAGACACTGGTCTATGAAACGCTTCTTGTTGAGGTTTCCCTCTTAGAAATCCACAGCATAAATCTGTATAAGGATACTGAGAAAATCTGTAAGGGAAAACAATATGGATCTGCATAGATATATGGAGAGATACATAGGGAGAGATATACATAAACATATCAGACTGTTTACTCCAGGATTTCCTAGCCTTTCTACAATATTTGTTAATTAGATTTAACTTAACAGAAGATAAGGGAAAACAAAGAAGCATTAGAAGGAAAATATACATGTTCTTACTGCCAAGAGAGCAATCATGACCTGACATTTGTCCCTGCCATCCAGCGCCTCAGTGATCATTGGTGAAATGATATGCATAGTCACAAAAAATGTTCAGACCCTTGAATTTTAAAATGAGTTTAAATCCTGGAACTCCACCAAAGGAAATACACAGATTACAAACACAGCTTTCTTTTCTGTCAGTTTCTCATTTTTACTCATAGGACTCACAGACATTATCTGAGTCTACATAATAAATCTGTAGATCACTTCTCTGAATGCCACTCATTGCCTTGCCTGGCAGAAAAAAGTTCTTAAATATGAAAACCCCTTTGTCTACATATTCAACTCTGATGTAATTTCATCACATTTTTTCCTTTTTCCTTTTTTTCCTCAACAAGGGTAATTATCTTTTCATCTGTTACTGATTTGGATGAGGACACTGTATACCATATGCATTACATATACAAACATATTGTGTTCTTTAATTATCACACATGAAATTAAATACTAGTACTCAGTGAACCATCTCTATGATTTATGACATGAGAAAACTGAAAGGATAAGACAATACTTGAATATAAATATTCGATTTTCAAAGAATACAATTAAATTTAAAAAATCCAGATCTTTGTCTCTATTTCCTTATAAAGACTGAAGATCAGGAAATCCTACTCATGTAAGTGATTGTCCTACATCGAACAGGCTGAGAATTTCTCTTGTCCAGGAGCAAGGTTTAAGTACCCTGAACAGTGCTAGGAGAATAGAATTGAGCTCATAGCTCGTTTCACTGTTTATTAAGCAAAAGCAGGTACTCCCCTGAATTCAGAGGTGGTTTATAAGGTGAGCACCATCTTGAAAGCTCTAGGTAGGCATCCTATGACTCTGCCCATAGAATCTCTTGTTTTTCCTGAGATTTTATTATAACTACATTGCTCATGGAAACAGCCTCTATAGGCTGGAATGACTAGCACTATTTCAAAGAATCTTGCACAGCAATTTCTCACTTTTTGGGGGGGGTCATAGACCCCCTTAAGTATCTGCTCAATGCTGTGGACCCTTTTTCCAAAATGAGCATATGTCCATAATTTCACATAAAATATAACACAGTTTCATGAATTCCTTGAGGCCCTTCTTGAGACTGCAAGTTCAGATCCCTTCACCTAGAATATCTTCTTCTGTCATAGTATCAGGAACATTTTCTTTCTTTTTTTTTTTTTTTTTAAAGATTTTATTCATTCACTTGACAGATCACAAGTAGGCAGAAAAGCAGGCAGAGAGAGAGGGGGAAGCAGGCTTGCTGCTGATCAGAGAGCCCAATGTGGGGCTTGATCCCAGGATCCTGAGATCACGACCTAAGCCAAAGGCAGAGGCTCAACCCACTGAGCCATCCAGAGGCCCCAGGAACATTTTCTTATTCACTTTTATATTCCTAGTTTGAACTATGCCAGGCCAGTAGAAGAAATGGAAGGATAGGACTGAAATATTTGCCAAGATGATCAATGAAGAAATGTTAAAAATAAAGTTGGCATTGCAAATCTATAGGGACAGAGAGTAAATTAGTGGGTTGCTTAGGGCTGGGATGAGGTAGGGGAGATGAGATGTGACTGCTAATGGGTATGTTTGGAGATGATGTAAACGTTCCTTTTCTTTTTTTGAACAATTTAATTTATTTATTTATTTTAGAGCGAGAGAGAGCACGAGGGGGTGGAGAGAGAAATAGAGGGAGAGGGACAAGCAGACTCCACAGTGAGCATGGAGCCTGATGTGGGGTGTGATCCCACGACTCTGAGATCATGACCTGAGCTAAAATCAAGAATCTGATGCTCAACCAACTAAATGATCCAGGCACCCCCAGGGGATGATATAAAAATTCTATAATTAGATTGTAACGATGGTTGTGTATCTCTGTGACTACTGAAAACCAATAAATTATATATACACTTTATTTATTTAAAGATTTTATTTATTTATTTGACAGAGAAATAGAGCACAAGTAGGCAGAGAGGGAGGCAGAGAAAGAGAGAGGGAAGCAGGCTCTTCACTGAGCAGAGAGCCCGATGTGGGGCTTGATCCCAGGACCTGGGATCATGACCTGAGCCAAAGGCAGAGGCTTAACCCACTGAGCCACCTACCCAGGTGCCCCTAAATGAGTATGTTTTATCGTACATAAATGAGGTTTCAATTATGGTGTTTTCAAAAGTTGGTGTTAAAAGAAAGGAAAAAGAAATGGCTCAGCAGGGACTTACAGTAAACTGCCTAAAACTGAAGATAAATTGTGGCCTCCTTATTAATTGTCTTCAATGAGGAAGGAACTAGAGGAATTTTGGTTAAAGGTCATCGGGGTTTTTCTCATGGTGGGAAACCAAGGAGACTGCGTGTTTAGGTGACCTACAGAATGGAATGTGGAGGACCACCCATAAGAATAAAGAGTACTGGCTTGATCCAGTAGGATCTCTGCCTAACCCAATAATTCTGTTTATGACGATGACTCCATAGAGAGGCGATGGCTGCCCTCCATGGCACAGCTTGAAACGTTAAGAATACGACACCAATTTCCCCAAATCTTTTTTCTTAATACACTACGGACTGTTGACTAATAAATTTATCTAAGTCTATCTTGAATCAATTTATATTTTCAGCTTATTCTAACAAATTCCATATGCTTGGAAGATGTGACTGTAATATTTATGTGGAGCCGAGCCTGGCTTATAGAACCTTGAGGCGCTCATGTCTCTGCTTCTCACCACGCCCTTCTCCATGGTGCTGTCAAAGCCTCTTTTTTTTTTTAATTGAGGGCAAGAGTTTCCAATGCTGCTTCTCTATCTGCAAATCTTTTGCTTCCACTGCCCATCACTCTCCCTCCCCAATCCTGAGTTTGGCCCTGATTCTAGCTTGGAAAACTACACTGGTTGGTACAGGGCACTGGTCTCTTGGATACACGCAGTAAGTCATGGATCCCTGGGACATCATTTCAGTACCCAGAAATGGCAGCCTCACTAAGCTTTAGAACCCATCTGGTTCCATTTTAGACATGATGAAACTGTGGTGCAAAGAGAAGAAATCATTTTCCTGGGATCACAAAACTAGCCAACAGCAAGATGAAAAGTGGTATGTATTAATGCCCAACCATTCAGCTCTCAAAACTACGAGGCTGTCTCCTGGACTCACTATAATGCTCATCTCAGCCCCTCTCAGCCTCTTTCTTGTGATATTACTTGTGGTTTGACCCAGCACTGACCTCACCGTCCTGTCTCATCTCACCCACGTCTGCTTCATCCTGGTCAGGCTCGAACTCCGTGCCCCGGTCAACAACATCCACGCCAGCCTGCACTCTGGGCTTCTCGTTTTCCCACTTGGCAAAACCTTTGTCCTTTGCTGCTTTGTCATGGAATTTGGATTTCATTTTGGGGAAGGTGTGGGACCCTGAGTCTCCCCAGCCGGCCTCGGACCATACAGGTTCGGTCTGGGTGGCCTGGCTGGTGGTAGCCCGCTGCAGCCGCACGGAGATCTTGCGAGAAGAGCCTGTGACCAGTGTGATGGCTCTGCTATCCAGGTCTCGGTGTCCAGCAGCGACACCAGGGAACTCAAACACCTCATCCTGCACTGGAGGGGGAAAGGCTGTTGTGATTATTTGACATCTGATCACTTTAGAGCGAACCATCAAAGTTGGGGCAAACAACAGGAGTCTGATGGTCAAGACCCTAGAGGGACAGACCAGAGGCAGACCCAAACGGGCTGCAGGGGAGTTGCATAGAAGTGAGACCCGAAAGCAGAGAGCAGCAAGTGGGCGTCAAGGCTGTAGCCATAGCTACTCACCCCGAAGTAGGTCTTGATGTCGATAATGACACTGACCAGGTTCAGATCCAGAACCCAATGGAAGCCCAAGTGCAAGAAGGCGAGCAGAAAGAAATCAAGGTAGAAAAGAAAGCAGAGGCTATTACCTGGGGGCAGCGAGGGACTTCCAGGCAGTGACCCATGACTACTACCCAAGGAGGGCGCCCGGGTAAATCTCCTGCAGGCCAGAACCAGGAGGTCTTTGCACTGTTTGTGACAATTGGCTCCACAGTCTGAAAAATTCCACAGTATCACAGATGATTAGTGGGAACCATGGGCATCGGGTGCTGCCTGGGCTTCCCGGGTGCCACCTGAGCTGCCAGCTGTGGCCTCCCATCTCCCTTCCTGTGTTGACTCAGAGTCCGGCCAAGGCCTGCAGGGTGTGGCCAGGGGCTGGAAAAGGGCCAGTGGGGCTTGTTAGCCTTCTTGGGATTTCTCGCACATTTCCTCCACTTCTTCCTCTGCACAATTCACTGAGGTGCTAGGGAGCAAACAAGCAGGGGACAGACCTACGGGGGAGTTGCCTTTGCCCCAAACAGAATGTAAATCCCATGGGACGGGGGTTCTCTCCCAGGCCAAGACAGATTCTCCACCAAGAGGCTCCCTGAGCCAGAATGAGGGAAAGAAACCCCAGCTTCCAGTGTCTCCCAGGACCAACAGCCACCTCTGATCAGTCATAGCGAGGTGTTCATTTAGTATTCACTTGCATTTTTTAATTCTTCTTCATTCCTCCAAATCTTTTCCAGAACAAGTGATTTTATCTCCTGCTTTCTTTCTTTGCCATAGAAACAGAAAACAAGGTGGGCTTATGCCCAGGATCAGGTTCCAGAGTTGATTATGGCTTTGAAACAGCAGCAGACTGTGAAAAAGTCCCATTAGATCACTTTAGTTAACAAAGTAGACTATTAATTGCCACTTGGGGTAGAAAACTTTGGCTGCTTTGGAAAAGAACAACACAATTATTTCCCATAGAGGGTCCTACATTTCTCTTAGAATTACTGAACAGATAGGATCAATTTAAAGAGCATATTTCTCACTCACTATCAAACAGGACCTTTCTAATTCTTTCCAATACTTGCTTTCCCCCCAAATGGTCTTATTTCAAATGCTCTTGTAATGACATCATGGAATTATAATGAAATGTTCAATCTATTTTAATTAGGTTTTTCATTCCATTGCCTTTAAGAGAACATACTGTATATACAAAGATGTTCCAAGGGCTTAATTGATTTTCGTCTTCATAAAAGTGTGTGTGTGTGTGTGTGTGTGTGTGTCTTTTTAGAGGATAAGGGTCAGAAACCAGAATAAAACTATGGCTAGGTGGTAAGATACTGCAGTATCTTTGCAGCTTGCAAGTAACAATCCAAGTTACACTCAGACAACATACCAGAAATTAAAGGGAAGGTTTTTGAGACTAAAAGGTGGCTCCCATCTAGCTTTAGGGAACTCTGTTCATACAATACAAGGGCCAAATCCTGAAAAATAGCTAGAAGGGAGGAAAAAGGCACCATAAAGGAATAGTATTAATCTGAAGGCATTCTGTGATGAAGATGTTTCCTTTTGTAGCTATATCTTTCAAGAGCATTGTCAGATTCTTAAAACCACCAGTACAAATAATGTGCATTACCTGTCCAGCAATTTCGTAAACACCAGTAATAAATGATGATCATATATGCATACACAGTAACAAAGTCCTGAGTGCTTATTAAGATGAATCTGTATTGCATTTATCAAGTATATATTTATACTTGATATACTTGATTGATATTTATATATCAAGTATATATTTATTTGTTTCTAAATTTCAATTAAATGGGGAACTATATGAACAAATTCACTGAAAGGGACAAAAATAAGTTTTAAGGCTTCTCTTCTTTTCTCATCATCATCTGTGATTTGGTGGAGATAGGAAAAGCTACCTATGAGAGCGGAAAGAAAGGTATACGTATTATGGAAATGAGTGTCTCCTTATTCCCATGAAGGTCAAAGTTCTTTTATATGGTATTTTGGTTAGGCCTTTCCCACTCCAGAAACCCCACCCTAATTCTGTGCTGAGGATTCATAAGTCATCCTAGAGATGAGGCCACATGTATGCGGGTTGATAAGGGTGGTTTGCTTGCTCTTGCAACAAACTATAAAATTCCAATTGGGACTCTCCAAAACTCCAGGTTGTTAGATTTTTCTTCCTAGACGTGTTATCTCTTCAGTTGCCCGTGGCCCAAAGAACCGAGGTCTCCATGATGCCAAGAGTTTTTGTGGTTTCATCAGACAGATTTGATTCCTGCCCTGAATGTCACATTTTAAAATTTTACAAAATAACATTGATTTACCTTTGCATTTATATCCTTGCTTGATTATGCCCCAGAGCTGTAACAAGAGACAAAAGAATGTCAGAGAACCTGAATTAAAATCTGGAAAAAAACAAAAACAAACAAACAAACAACCGCCCCCCACAACCCACTCCCGCCCCGCCCCCGCCGCCAGAGAGAAGGAAGTAAGTCCTGGGAAGCATGATGGTTGGCGGAGCACAGACAGGATGTAGCTGATCCTGACACCCTTCCTGTCAGACAGAAGCTCACTCCAGCTGGGGTGATAACAACTTTGCTTCCCTTTTCTTTCTGGAAGCCAAATGGGAGCCGGGATGGGAAACTGACACGGGTACATTTATTGGACTTTGGTATAATGCGCTCTCAGCACAATGCACAGGGGGAAACTCTCCATGTTTTTGGAAGCCCCCAGCTCCCTCTGCCTTCTTTTGAATCACTGCAGCTGCTCTTGGCGCCCCCTACAGGAAATTAGGCAACGGATGGGACGTATATCCCACTAAAGTATTTGCGTGGCACTAGGTTCTTTTCCAAAGTAGCATTTGTATCTTGAAAGAATACAGAAAAGGGAAAAGACCTATTTGTTCATGCATCCATTCTCTGATTGCTCAGTGTTTGGCCTGTGTCAGGGCTCAGGCTGATGCAGTTAAGGCTGTGATTCTGCCAACCACGCAGGAAGCAGGATGTAGGAAGTGAGGAGTGTCTCAGGAGAGATGCAGGGGCTCATAGTTTAAGAAGGGGGGGTGTTTGCCCAACTGATTCAGAGGATCGTCCTGCGGGTAGTGTGTTCGCCCTCCTGACACACCGTGTTCTTCCCCGTGTCTCCCTCAGCATGGCACGTGGGTCCCCCAGACAGAAACATATAATATTGATGAATTCAGTGGGCTTAACTCAAGCTGGAAGAACTCCTGTTTTTAACCTTTTAGTGGTTAGGTTAGGTGACTGATATCTATTTAATAAAATGATTTTGAAAGAAACAGGGCTGGTGGCCTACTGGGGCTGCGGGGGTGTCATTTACACGTGTGATAGGGGAACAATGCCCTGAGTGGTGTCATCACGGCCCTCCCTGTAAGAAGAATGAAGACTTGCCAGTGTGAAGTGACTCGAGGCATCAAGAAGACTGATCCTTACCCTCTGACCCGGAAATTCCACCAGCAGAAAATGATTCCTTTGAGTCTTAAAAGTTATCAGGGTTGGGCGCCTGGGTGGCTCAGTGTGTTAAGCTGCTGCCTTCAGCTCAGGTCATGATCCCAGGGTCCTGGGATTGAGTCCCGCATCGGGCTCTCTGCTCAGCAGGGAGCCTGCTTCCCTTCCTCTCTCTCTGCCTGCCTCTCTGCCTACTTGTGATCTCTGTCTGTCAAATAAATAAATAAAATCTTTAAAAAAAAAAAAAAGTTATCAGGGTCCTGGGACGCCTGGGTGGCTCAGTTGGTTAAGCCACTGCCTTCGGCTCGGGTCATGATCCTGGGGTCCTGGGATCGAGTCCGGCATCAGGCTCCTTGCTCTGCGGGGAGCCTGCTTCTCTCTCTGCCTCTGCCTGCCACGCTGCCTGCCTGTGCTCTCTCTCTCACACAAATAAATAAATGCAATCTTAAAAAAAAAAAAAGTTATCGGGTCCTTCGGAGTATATTATTAAGATGGAAATGTGTCCTGGGAAGGAAGGATTATTAAGACAACTAACTGGAAGCAAGGCCTCAGTAACTCAGTGACGGGAAGAGGTCAGGAGCAGTCTATACAGAAAAGGGAAGTGGCATTGGGGTAATCATATCATGTCAGAGATTCAGGGATCTTCAACGTAATCTAGTTTGCTTCTCTCGCATAAAAGGTGAGTGGGATGGTCCAGAAAATTAAATAATCTGCAAGGTCCCACATCTGGAACACTCTGCAGTGATAAGATATTGTTTCCTCACAGAGCCCTTGATGATAGAAATAACCGTAATAATGATAGCTAACATATTGAACTCCTGTTGCGTGAGAGGCACAGTCTTAAGCTTTTTATGTGTACTCACTCGCTGAACACTATGTATGTATACACTGGGCTCTAGAGAGGTGAAGCCACTTGGCAAGGTCTTGCTGCTAGTGAGCAGGGAACGAAGACTTGGGTCACAGGAGGGAAGGACAGGAAGCCACTGCTCCTGGGTGTTTTGTGTATGAGTAAAAACCACCGATTTAGGACAAGGAAGGTTAAGATTTAAGAAGAAGAATTCTAATACCCAGATATGGCACATTATTAGCATAGTTGCAGGAACTGCTAGAAAACACAGAATGAAGCCTGAGTCCTATCAGGAGGGACACTCCGGGCACTGCTTGCTAATGCTCCTCAATGGCTAGGAGACAGCACAAGGCAGGAAGGGGCTCTGGGTCAGTGTGCCAGCCCTGACAGGAGACAGGGACCTCATGGAGATGGGTATATAGGACTATTTCCTACAGTCCTTTGATTTGAGAGCTCAGGTTGCTTTAGGATTTGGAGGGACTATGGTGTGAGGAGCACTGGGCTGGGAGTCCAGGGCACATAAGTGTGTATGACTCATGATCCTTCTGCTAATGCTCCCTGCAATTATACAGAAGTCACTTACCTTCCCAGACCCCAAAACAAGGGAATTAGCAAAACTTGTTCAGTTTGGGAATTCTAATTCTAAGATAAATATACTTCAAATAGTGCTTGTTTTGCTTACCCCTAAAATGGAATTTATTTTAAAGGCAGGTGGTCCTGGCACAGAAAAATGATTCCTTGCCTTCACCCGCAATTCTTTCAGTGACACATCTAAACTTATAAATTCCCACTGAAAACCAATGAACTTGTGTGTGTGTGTGTGTGTGTGTGTGTGAAGATTAAATCAAATCACATCCATGAAATTAAATATATTTTGAAGAATAAACAGGGCTATTAAAACTTTAAATGACTTAATTTCAGTTAAACTCCAAAAGTAATCATGGAGTACTTTTAAAAGAGAAGTATTAACTCTGAGCATGCTTGATGTCATTTAATGATCATAACAACATGGTAAGTTTTTTTTTTAAGATTTTTTTTTTTTTTATTTGAGAGAGAGAGAGCATGAGCAGGGGGAGGCACAGAGGGAGAGGGAGAAGCAGACTGTCTGCTAAGCAAAGAGCCTGACATGAGGCTCAGTCCCAGGACCCTGAGATCATGACCTGAACCAAAGGCAGATGTCCAACCTACTGAGCCACCCAGGTGCTCTATGATATGTAAGTTTAAACCCACTTTCACAGATAGGAAAACAGAGACTCAAAGATGATCAATAATTTGCTCAAGGACAAAAACTTTAAAAAGGGCAGACTTGAGATTCAAAGTCAGGGTCCCAGACTCCAAGTCCAGAGCTTTCTACCTTATCACAGAAGCATCAAGAACCTGATACCAGCAAACCTGCTCTGATGAGTCAGGAAGGGGAGTGTGGAAGCTCCTGGGAAAGATCCCTCGTTGTTGCTTCTATAGAACCCGTGGTTCCATAGAAGGAAGAGATACCCAGAAGGACTGGAGGGCACGGATAAGACCTTGAGATTTGATAAGAGCCCGCCAGGTCTCACACCATACCAAAGAGCAGATGTCTCAACTTGACTTTGGGTGGAGCTATGCCACGGCCTAACAGATTCCCTGGGCCCTGCTCTGCAGAAGAGCTGCACGTGGCCCTATCCCATGTTGGCATTTTTCAGGTCTAGATACAAACAAAAACTCCCCTCAGAGGAGAGAACCATGAAAAAGGGGACGTATTTGTTGTATGATAAAGTGGTCAGGCGATAAAATTCCACTGGTTAAGCTGACAGAAATAGAATCTCTCCTTCTCTGGGGTGGGCAAAGGCAGCTGGTTGGGCTGGCCTTGCCCCTTGACCACATCAGCTGCAGTGACCCCCTGGGGCCATCTTTGAGGTGACTACTGCCTCTTATTTACCCATTCTCAGTGGGTGGGGGGGATTGTTCTTGAACACAAACTCCTGTCCTTGGGCCCCTCAAAGCCAGTCCTTCCAGCCTAGGATGGGAAAAGTCTAATTTTTGCAGTAGTATATAATAGAAGCTGTGAATTCAAATGGGTCACCAGTGGAACCTGATGGTTGAATGAAGCTAACACAACTGAGCTTTGGCATCTGGACGAAGGAGCAATCGTCATGCCGAGTGCCGGGCCACCTGCATCTGGAGAACCACATTTTCATCTTCTACAACTTGGGTAACAATTCGACTTTCAGGGCCCATGACTCTTGGTTCAATATCAGGGCCAACACTGCCCTTAGCTGCCAAAGAATTACCAAATGTGGGGGAACAAAGTGTACAATCTTCATTTGTGCTATGGTATAGGTAGAGCAAGGGATTTAGAGTCAAAACACCTGCATTTGAGTCCTGGCTCTGGTAATTACGGGCTGTACGATCCCTTATCCATCCTCTCTGGACCCCTTTGTCTTGATAGGCAAATGGAGAGAATGAAGTATTCACCTAATGAGCTAGTTAAGAGGATTAATTACACTAACGTGCATGGAAGTACTTCATTACTGTCGAGTGCCAAATAAATGTTATTTATTATTATAACCATCTTCTCTCCAAAAAGATTTTTTTCCCCTTTTGAGTTATGAATCATTAAGCCATGCCATGATGGATTTCTAGTGACTGACATCATATGAAACAAGAACTGGGAGGAACTAGCTAAGATAAATAATCCCCCTTAATTGCACCTACTATGAGTATTAACGATGAATGCCAAGGCTCATTGGGCAGAACCTTTCATTGGCAGGGATTAACAAACTGCTCTCTTGAGTTAACAAGCCTCACCATCCCTTCCTGTCACCAGCCCAGCATTCCTAGAAAGAACACACTGAAACCTGCAGATTTTGCTTTTGTTTTTAACTTAATTTTTAATTTCAGGGAGCCATCATAGTTTACTTCTGATCTAAAGCAGACAATGAACTCAGTTGGGGTATCATCTTCCCATCTTCTCAGAATGAGGCACAAATAACTACACACAAGAGAAAACAATAGAAAAGGGACTTACAAATCCTGCACAGTGTTCACAGAAGGTTGGCTTGAGATAGGTCATCTCCTGAAAATTGTGGACAAATCCAGGTCCCATTTTACAGTGTAATTGGGACTTAGCTCGCAGAAAGTAAGCCATCATTTCGTCTTTACTAATGAGGCCATCCCTGTGAAGAGAATCAGAGAAGGGAGGGATCTTTGAAGACCATGTTGTGAGGAGGCTGACACACTGTAATCACCCAACTCCCGAAACCTTTGTGGCCAAAAGCAGGTGGGCAGTGTTTATATCTCTGTTCTTTCTGAAAGGAGAGGACCTCGAAGGACAGCTTTTGGTGCAAAGGCTTTCTTAGTAAGGAAAAGAGACGTATGTGTATCCTGTGGTCCACAGCATAGAACTCTCCTTCATTACCAAATGGAAGCTTCTAGAAGGAAATCTCCTTTATCCCATCCCTTAGCAACAGGGTGTGCAAGAATCAGGCTGCTGGAGAAAGGCAGAAAACCGTAATAACTGGGCCCATCATTCTCAAATTCATTCAGCCTGACGTCATCTGGGCCACTGCTGTTGGTAATCTTTCATTCATGTCTTACTGGCTTATAGACTATCTGCTGGAGCCATTCTTTCAGATCTTCACATAGAACCTCTGGTTACACCCACCAGCACACAGCCAGACTTCTTGTTCATCAAGAAGATCAAATCCACTTGAAGCACGTGGTGTTCATACCACCTTCTCTCCACATCAGCCAGTGCCGGAGCATGTGCCCTTCTGTGCCAATTCTGAATGCCTTTGGATCTCATCTGTTCTCTCTTGCGTCCTCCTGTCTCTGAGGAAGTCATGCTCCCCTCCCCCACTCCGCAGTCTCCCAGGAAACGGCTCCTTCCACGTTCTGCTCAGTCTCTTCACCCACTCCTTCCTCTGTGTACAAATACGCTCACCACTTCCCCATCTGGAAAATGTCTTTCTTTAACCTTGCTTCCATCCCTGGCACCTGTCTTTTCTCTCTTCCTTTTCTTACTCCCAAAGTTTTCAGGAAGAATATTCTTTAGAGGGTTTTTTGCTTTTCCATTTCCTTCAATTACTTTTCGGTCCATATGACCAGGATTCTTTTATTTATTTATTTATTTATTTATTTGACAGACAGAGATCACAAGTAGGCAGAGAAGCAGGCAGAGAGAGAGAGAGGAGGAAGCAGGCTCCCTGCTAAGCAGAGAGCCCGATGTGGGGCTCGATCCCAGGACTCTGGGATCATGACCTGAGCTGAAGGCAGAGGCTTTAACCCACTGAGCCACCCAGGTGCTCCTATGACCAGGATTCTAACCCTACTGTTCTGTTGAAAACTGTCACGGTGATGTCCTCAGTGGCCTTTCCTCACTTCTTTTTTTTTAAATATTTTTTTAAGATTTTATTTATTTATTTGACAGAGAGAGAGAGAGCTACAGAGGGAACACAAGCTGGGGAGAGGGAGAAGGAGAAGCAGGCTTCCTGACAAGCAGGGAGCCCGATGTAGGGCTTGATCTCAGGACCCTGGGGTAATGACCCAAGCCGAAGGCAGATGCTTAACGACTGAGCAACACAGGTGACCCACTTTTTTTCTTTTTAAAGATTCATTTATTTATTTATCTGACAGGAGGGAGAGAGAGCACATGCAAAAGCAGGGAGAGAAGCGAGTAGAAAGGAAAAGCAGTCTCCCTGCTAAGCAGGGAGCCCAACGTGGGGCTTGATCCCAGGATTCTGGGATTATGACCTGAGCTGGGGACAGACGCTTAACAGACTGAGCCACCCAGGTGCCTCCTTTTCTCATTCCTTGACGTTGTTGACCTCTAGGCTGCGTGTGACATGCAGGCAGGTTTCTTTCCTTTTTGACACTTTCTCCTCCACGTACCCGTGTGATTTCACACAGCCATGGTTTCTCTCCTGTCTCCCATGTTCCTCCTCCTCTGGCTTTCCTGTAGGATCCAGTTCTTTCTTTCAGCTGGGGAAGAGTCCCCAGGCTGCAGTCCTGAGGCCCTGAGCTCATGTGCCTTTCAATTTTCCCATCAGAATTTGCTCACATGCCCAGGATTCCAGCTTGCATGGCCGGGCTGAAGACCTAGAAACCAATATCTCTGATAGCCACAGCTTGCTAGAATCTCCTCCGGAATATTCTACCCCCCTCTCAAAATCAACGTATCTCAGCTTACCTAACAAAAATCACGTAAGCTACGAATATTTCAAACTTTCATTTTTAGAAAAAAATAAAATTTATATATCTTTGCCAGGACAAGTGTCAGGTCTATCAAAGAAGGAGCAGAAAAAAGAAATGAAGAGTAGGAAGTGATTTTAAGTTCATGTCTTACCTACATGTCACGGATAGAAACGAACTAAGGGAAGTGGGTAGTTAGCAGGTAGTAACTTGAATTTTATTTTGTAAAAGAGGTTCATGTTTCTAATAATTTAATTTATCTTAAAAGTATTCTTTGTTCTAGATATTCAATAAAGATGAATTAAGGTTTTAAGATGTTGTGATAAAATATCAAGGCTTTCCTTGGTGTATTGAACTACTTATAGATTTAGTTTTTTAAAAAGTTCTCACACCAACAAAAACATTAAAGAATTCTAAAGTGATATGATTTGGACATTTCATCAATATAAAATCTAGCACCTCATTACAGATGATTTTTAAACTAGGAACTAAGCTCACAGAATTAAAAATGAAGCAGTCAAATTTCTAAGGCCAGTGTTTCTCTGATATATATATATATACATTTTTTTTTTCTCCTATTGTTTCATTTTCCACTGTTTTCTACTGAGCTAGATCTTAGCCTCTAAGGTCATTTAATTTTCCAGGAATCATTTGAGGCTACAGAGAAATGTATGTTTACTTCATTTATCAAAACAACCTTGAGCTAGGAAAGAGAGAAATAAAGAAAGGGCACTTCTTGGCTATCTGTAGATATTACCTGCTCTTCTGAAGACTGTAAGTAATTTAAAATAATTTTAGTTATTTGGTGAGTTTTAGTCTTGCCCTCAGGTCCACTGATGCTGAGGACTCTACCAGCCTAGGTGTAACGATATTTCTCCTCTACACTTTTTGATGAAAGTTTGGGGGTTGCTGAAATAGCTAAGCAGAAGTAATGTGGGGATGGAGAATCAGCTTCATTTGCAAATGGGCACTCAGACTGAACACTGATGGTGTGGTCTGCCCTGTGATTTCGCCCAACCCGTCACGTTTGTGGACACCAAGAAAAAAATCAGCTAAATATTAGACTTGTCTCATCAGTGCCCTAGGATTGAAGCTGTCCAGATGTACATTAAAGGTTCTCCTCTGACACCAATTTTCTGCTTCAGGACAGTTGCATTAAATTATAACAAAATGAAAACTTACTGATCTTTGTCCAACACACAGAAGGAATCCAAAAAGGGAAAATTGGCAGCTATACTTTCAAAGTCCTCTTGGGAAATGTACCCATCGTGGTCGTGGTCATAGTTTCTAAACACAGACTGCAAAGGAAAGACAAATATTTATGGAAAAACTATTTATGAGGCAGGCTCTGAACTTGTCATTGGAAAAGCAGTGATAACCAGCATATTGTTCTATTGAGGAGCTTAGAATCCAGTGGGAGATAATGAAATCAAGAAGCCTTCATGATATATGAAGATAAGTGCAATGGTGAGGATAAAAATAGGGTGTCGTGGGGCACCTGGGTGGCTCGATTGTTAAGCGTCTGCCTTTGGCTCAGGGCATGATCCAGGGGTCCTGGGGTGGAGCCCTGCATTGGGCACCCTGCTCGGCAGGAACCCTGCTTCTCCCTCTATCACTCCCCCTACTTATGTTCCCCCTCTCACTGTCTCTGTCAAATAAATAAATAAAATCTTTAAAAACAAAAAATAGGGTGTCCTGGGGAGGAGTGGAGATGGGAGATTTTAAAAAGTTTCCTGAAGAAAGTAAGGCCTAACTGAGACCTCAGTTTTAGTAAGAGTTAAGCTTGGTGAATTCACAAATGCCAATACCATGCCGATAGAAAATGAAGCTTTAGGGGCGCCTGGGTGGCTCAATGGGTTAAAGCCTCTGCCTTCGGCTCAGGTCATGATCTCGGGGTCCTGGGATCGAGCCCCATATTGGGCTCTCTGCTCAGCGGGGAGCCTGCTTCCCCCTCTCTCTGCCTGCCTCTCTGCCTACTTGTGATCTCGGTCTGTAAATAAATAAATAAAATCTTTAATAAAAAAAAAAGAAGAAGAAGAAAACGAATTTTTAAAGTGTTAAAGTATCCAAAAAAAATTCAAGTATATTTTTAATGCAATTCCAATAGAATTCCAGCGGGAATTTGTTTTAAATAAACAAACTGATTCCAAAGTTCAAACAGTAGTAAACATGTTGAGAATAGCCTAAAATTGTTTAAGATGAGAAGTAATGAGGGAAAAGGTGTCCTATCAGAAATCAAATAATCTACAAAGCTACATTAATGGAAACAACATGGTACTTACCTTACTGCAGATAGCAGAGTCTGGGAACAGATCTATGTTTATAAAGGAATTTAGAATATCAAAAAGTATCTTTTTAAATCCACAGGGAAATGAAAAATTACCCAATAATTGCTGTTGAGCTAAATGGCTAATAATCTTACAAAATCAATTGCCCCGAAACTAAATTCTAGATGCATTAAATATTTTAATGGAAAAAATAAAGCTATAGGGGTGCCTGGGTGGCTCAGTGGGTTAAGCCTCTGCCTTCAGCGCAGGTCATGATCTCAGGGCCCTGGGATCAAACCCCACATTGGGCTCTCTGCTCGGCGGGGAGCCTGCTTCCCTCTCTCTCTCTGCCTGCCTCTCTGCCTACTTGTGATCTCTCTCTCTCTGTCAAATAAATAAATAAAATCTTTAAAAATAAGTAAAGCTATAAAAGTATGAAAGGTAAATAGACAAAAATAATTTTTATGTTTTGTTATCTTTGAGTGGGAAAGGCCTACTACGACATCAAAGTCAGCAGCTCTAAGTAGAAACATTTTATTACATAAAAGCCAAAATATCTGAATCAAAAAAGTCCAGCTGATAAATTTAAAGATAAATGACAGAGAAGATTATCTGCAATATACAAGAGAACAAAGACATAGAAAGGAAACCGGGAGATCACAAAGTAAAAATACAAATGGCCAAGACATTCGTGGAAATTGCTCAATTCTGCTAATAATTATAGAAACGCAAAGAAAACTTTTTTTTCCCAACCTTTCAGATAGGAAACGTTAAGATCATTGATAATTTCCTAGGATATGAGAAAATAGGCACTCTCAAAGTAGTTGATGAAGTCAATAGCCACAGTCTTTCTGGAGGACAGTCTGCTTACTCTCTGACCCAGCAGTTCCACTTAGGGGACTCTGTTCTAGGTAAATAGGTGAACAATGTTAATCAGAGGCATATGTGGGCGTGTGTGTTTATGGGGGGGATTAAGTCATACAAGATAATTTACAAATTATCAGTGTTTATCCCCAGAGAGCAGAATTCCCAAGGTCTGAAAGCAAAACTTGGATTCTCTCCATTTTGTGAAAAGTCTGCATATGTACAATGATTCTGACTTTCTTTATAATCAGAGAAAAATAAAAGGAGTCTTCCAATGCCCTCTGTTAAATTGGGTTTTCAAAAAGGTAGGTTACGCTCTCCCCAGAAACCCATCTATGCAAGCAGGTAATGAGTCTTTCTCCCTTTTCCTGATGGTTTCTGTCTATTCTATTTTATCCATAGTGCTCGATGTTGCAAGCTCCTTCAGGAGTATTTTGGGAGATGGGCAAGGTATAAATGAACAAATTACTTAATTAAAAATATGACTGTTTAGCACCTATTGTAAGTTTATTTATAGATAACTGAATTGTGCAAAATCCTAAAACATTACCTTTTTTGCAAGTCCCAATATCTGTATTTATCTATAATCAAAATTGCTTAAAACTGACCATTGTACCATGACTTCTATTTATAGGTAACATCCATATTTCGGTTGAAAATACAATCTTTTTGTAGAATAAAATTGAGTTTCCAAATTTCATGATAAAACCCAGTCTTTTATTTGATTGAGCTGAAAGTAGGCAACTTATCCAAACTGGGCCAACCTTCTCCCCTATGAAATTGGAATTGGAGAGAAAATAGGAGAGATGGCATCAGGGTGGAGAGAGGGAGGGAGAGAGAAAGGGGGAGAGAGTGAAACAGACTCCCCACATGGAACACAAAAAGTCTTTCAGCAGGTAATGGAATGAGCATTCAGAGAAAAGAGTGGGAAAGAGAATCATTGTCTTTCACTTCCTGGCTCCAGACCTTCCTGAGCTGCCACTCTGTCCTGCCTGGATCCTGCCCCCCGCCCCTCCACCCCCATCCCCTTCCTTGGCTCCAGGTTGGGTTGTGACCACAACATCAACACATGGTCTCCTCCACTGGACCTTATGTGACTAAACACCTTCCCCCATTCTTTCTGACCTTTCCTTGCCACCTCACATGCTCCACAGAACTTTTCTTTCAATGCACTGTAATTCCCTGGATGATCCAAGATGTAGAACATTCTTTCTTTTCCTTTAAACACCCATCACCAGCAAAAAAGCTCATTTTATCCCAAGACGGAATCCTATTGCATCATACCCACCCATTAAAGCAGATGTTTAATCAGGGGTCATAGTTTTTAGTGCCAGGTACGTTTCCATTTTCCCCACACTGGCACTCCTACCCTTTCTGTCTTCCTTCCTTCTTTCTTTCCTTCCTTTCTTCCTTTCCTTCCTTCTTTTAAGATTTTATTTATTTATTTTGAGAGAGAGAGAGTATGCACATGATGAGGGTGGGAGGAGGGGCGGAGGGAAAGGGAGAAGCAGACTCCCCACTGATCAGGGAGCCTGAAGAGGGGCTTGATCCCAGGACCCCAGGGATCCTGACCTGAGCCGAAAGCAGATGCTTAACTGACTGAGCCACACAGGTGCCCCTCTACTCTTCTTTCTATGTAGAAAACTCTGATGGAGACTTTCCCATCATTAAGTGATGTTTCTGACCTAGATGTCATTGTGCTGCTGTGACATACTGTATGCTGATACATACAGCAAAAGAAACTATGCAACCTACAGGATCTTTTCCTACCCGCAGGCAATCAATTTATTGGGCATTTTATTGTGACCCATGTAGGTTTTTCATGAGTAGATTCTAATCCCCAAACAGCCTTTCAAGTAGCAGGGGCAACAGTGGAGGTGTCAAATGCCACTGAAAGAGAGTTGGGAGTAGCTGAGGGTATTTGGGCAAATGAGAACACGAGGACAAGAAGGGGAGAGGGGGCCTTTCTGGGACACTCTCCCCCAGAGGCCAATGCCAAGTACAGAGAGTGTTTGCTAAATTGCTCCTACCTGCCAGAGGCCTGTTTTCATTGACTTCAGTTGATTCTTGGCAATGGCAGAATATTCTGGAAAGAGAAAGGGGCCTTCTAGTGCTCAATCTCCACTCTCTCAACCACTTACCTCAACTAACTTCCTTATGTGCTTATTGATGACTGTGGGGTCTGGCTTTGGCATCACTCCTGATGCCCACTCCAAGGGCACCACGGGCTTCGTGGGCGTCGTAGGGGAGGTAGGCTGCTGACAGAGAAAACACATTTTTTTAACTTTATCTGAGACTTTGAACAATTAGGGGACACTGAGAAGGACATGTACCTTCTATATTAAAAATACCAGTAAAAACATATATGCAGCACTTAAATGTTCTGAAAGCAAACATCTTCTATCAATGGAATCTAATCTGTGACTAAATACACGTGTGGATAGTGTATTTTGTTTAGCAATAGCCTAGATTCCATTATTCTAAATGGAAAAAAAGATATTGCTCTTCCAGCCCACCCAAAAATTCTATTCATGTTCCCCAAATATTACTAAAACAGCTTTGAAACTTATTTAATACTCCAAACAGATTTTTGTATAATATAAAATGTATAAAACATCAGTTGTCTAATTCTTTAATAACTGGATTGCTGATAAATTAGTAGATGTGTGCAGTGAATGGGCCCATGAAAATGGTCAAGTTTATGTCCTCAAGCCGGCATCTTTCTTAATATGCTTAATCCCTTCTCACTGTTTGGCTAATTAGGTCTTTCTAGCCTCTTTGGTGGATTTGCTTTCTCTATGTTTTTCCACGTTCTTGCAAGACATCTTCACTAAATAATGTGGAGGAGATGGTGGTGATAATGTATTACATGTTCACACAACACAAGGGAAAACACAATCCCCTCAAGAGACTAGCCAAGAGTGCTGTGCACTTAATTCCTCTCCCTGGGACTGTCATATAATGTAAATATCTTTGTTGGTGCATGCATGCAAACTGTATTGGGAGGTTTTGATATTGAATTGGGGATAAATATGTTTGCAAGAGGAATTAAGGAGTAACTATACTGGATTTAAGCCCCTCGCAATGTTGTGAGATGAGAGAGCAGGACCAACAACTACCTGCTGCCTGATGTGGTCACCAAAACACAGACTCACTCCCACACACATCATACATATCCTGGCTCCTTCTTTTAAGCTTTTCATTTTGTTCATCTGATGAAGGATAAACCCATGGTTCCCAAAACTGTATAATAAGGTGCCCCATTGGGAACATGGCAGTGGACTCATATGGAGGTACCAAAAGATATTTCAAACTTCCAAGGGAAATAAAGCAGTACGCCATATTTGACAGACACCATGTGAACTACCAGCTTAAAGTAGTTCACAATTCCCCCATTAGATCCCGCTACATTTCTTCCAATGTTATCATATCTTTCCAAAGCAAAAAATCAGTGTGGAACAAGGAAAAAGGTGGCAGTATTCAACCTGATTCCAAGATTTAAGAAATTGTTCCATGCCCAACAGGCACACCCATCCATTTGTAAGTAATTGTGGTTATTTAAGAATGAAATTAAAATATTATTTTTATTTCAACATGTGTTATTTTTTCAAGTGGGTTCTACACCATTAGAACATTAATATATATTAAATTGTTTGGCCCTAACTATCCTAAAAGTGGAATTGTGAGGTATTTCTTTTGATCTAGAGGTAGTCTGAAAAAACTACACAAAGTAAAACACAAAGAACTAGTGAGACACGAAGGGTGCACTGTGCAGAGCAAAGGTTCAGAGGGGGACTATGCAAGGTCCACCGGCACCAACCATAAGCCCACTGAGTTACAGGCTCCCGGTGTTCTCTGACAGGAGCTTGTTCTCTAGTGTCAGCATATGTCAAACCTAAACACAAAACAGGATGACAAGAGATGAAAAAGAATTGGGGAAATGTGTTCGCATAGATTCAGAGGCTTTTAGTCGTTGGAAGGAGCTTTGAAAGCTTCTGCTTTTATAAAAGATAAAAAAGACTACGTTGGATGGAAATGTCTCCTACAATTGGCAAAAATTCATCCTGAAAATAAACTAAAACAAATCTAAAGAGCACAAATCAGGCAAGTATGCTAACATGGTCATTCCTACCACGTTCCTGATACAAGGGGTGGCGGGAAAATGATGGGCAGCATCCTGCAGCAGAAAAAGCACAGAAGGGGTGCCTGGGTGACTCAGATGGTTAAGCGTCTGCCTTTGGCCCAGGTCATGATCTCAGGGTCCTGGGATCGAGCCCTGCATGGGGCTCTCTGCTCAGCGGGAAGCCTGCTTCCCCCCTCCTCTCTGCCTGCCTCTGCCTACTTGTGATCTATCTCTCTCTGTCAAATAAATAAATAAAAATCTTAAAAAGAAAAAAGAAAAAAGCACAGGAGTTGAAAACAGACAGGCCTGACACCGCCTCCCAGTTCTTCCACATACGGGCTGTGTACTCCATGTGAGACACCTGTCCTCACCAGACTCCACTTCCTTAAGAGTTAATGAGATACAGATGCCCCAGCAGGTGCTCAACAACCAATGGGTAGCAATTAAGGTGCCTACTTATAGATAGAGGAAGGGGTGAGGAGGTGGAAATGCCATGTGCACGTGTAACAGTTTGCCACACTGAAATCAGTGTCCTCCCATCAAAGCCAAGGAATGAGAAAAGAGCTCATGAATTCCTTTTTTCTAATAACTTTGCCTTTCTCTCCAGCTCTTAGGCATGCTAACTTTGCAGAGTCTAGCCCTCATTCTTCCCTTTGGCTTGTATCTGGCCACATGGATCTATTCTTTAGTGTCCCCAGGAGATGGGCCTCTGGGGACTGGTGGGGAGGTGAACATGCTGATGGAAACACCACACTCATGATCATAAGAACAGATGCTACCAGGTCAACTGACTCAAGCTCAAGTGCGTAACCTCCTGGCACCTCACAGGCATTCTGCCTCTTTCGGGCTGATGCTTCAGAATCAGAATAGAGGGTCACGCTTAAGGTCCACACCTCTGGCAACATGCCACAGAACTCAGCGGGTAAGGAGGTAAGGCATGAAGCCTTTATCAGAAACCTGATGTCAGGATATGAGTCTAAGAAGCCAACATAGACAGTTTTTCCTTCAACATGTGAACCTCATCCTCACTGTAAATTTCAAATTCGCCCAGGTATTTTTTATTAGCACAAAACATATCTAAGATACAGACAACTGTTTCAGTTTGCTGCATAAAATACTCGATAAAACTAATGATCAGTGCAATTTCCCCAATCTCAGCATAGAATGTTTCTCTACTAAGAGTCAGTGATCCAAAGTGATACTGAAATTCTGAGCTAAGTTGATCATTAGCAGGGAAATTTGTGAATTATGATCAGGGTCTTCAAAATTTACTATACTTAATTTCATACTGAATGGGTTTTATATTGGAGAGTCTAAATGCTGTTTAACATTAAGATGAGTTCTTGTTTTGTTGGGAGGAGGGCCTATATGTACACAAATTCTCAGATGGGACATAGCACATAGAAGATAAACAATGAAACAGAGTAATTGGGAATAATGTTCTTCTTTATTAGCCTCTGATATGAAGAAATAATCTCAAACTGTCAGAGCTCAGCTCTTCCATGGGCAAAATGGAATAATACGGATTTTTTAAATTCTTCAATCTTCAGATCACAAAGCATCACTGGAACAGGCATCATGATAAATGACTAACAACAGTATTTGGCCCTGATCCTTAGAGAGAAAACACCACCTACCGATTTAGAATTTCTAGGCTCCAGCACCAGTGACAGTTTGTAAATATCGTCTTCTGTGTGGTAGAGGTCCAGAGAAAGCTACAACAAATTAGAAGGGATAAATGATGATGTTGGATCACATTTACTTATTTATTTACATTGCTGAAATATTTTTCAAACTCAATGTGTAACCTCAGTGTCTAATAATTTGAGAGAATGCAGAACATTAAAAAGATAGCATTTGGAGGTGGAATATGAACTTTTAAAAAGAAATAGTGAAACCAAGTATGGCCATCAGCCATACTATGAGTTATGTCATATGAGTTATGTCAGATGTGTTTACATCAACAAAAGGCAACACGCTCAATGCAATAGGGATTGTTCAGAGAGGTGACAAATACAGCAGAGGGAGAGGTTCTGGAGTCCAGTGGGCCTGAGTTCAAGTGCAGAGCCTGCCACTGCTTAGCCCTGTCACCTTGAACCAGTTATATCTTCTCTGATACTCAGTTTCCACATCTGTAAAATGGAAATTACCTTAAAAGTCCCTACTGAATTGCATTTTGATCAGGATCAAATGGAATACCTCATGGGAAGTACTACACACGGACCTTGGTACACAGTGAAATGTCAAGAAAGGTTATTTGGTATTGCCATATCTTCTCATTTGTCAGAAGAATCCAGAAATCTGAAGTTTTATATGAAATACTCAATTTTTAAATATTAGCAACTAATTTTAAAAATTTAAGATTCCATGTCGGCCAAATAAAGCCCATCTGCCATGGGCAGTTGCCCACCATTTTGTAAATTCCACAATGGAAAACTACTGGCCTTTAAGCCTCAAGAAAACAGGCAGCACATTCGTCTTTTCTGCCTCTGTAGCCCCACCCATGGCTCGCTGCCTTGCATTGTGAACGCTACATAAACAGAAAGAAAATCAAGTGACTTCTTATTTCTGAATTCTTTGTTAACAGGAGTTATTCTGGACTTCGATGAACCTGTTCCTGTCCTCCTAATTAGGTCTCTAGTGACTGGCACTGGCATTTGCTGGAGAAGGGATGACAAGAGTGCTAGAACATCTGTCCAGAAACCCAAATAACCACATGCTATGGAGAGGAGATGCTCTTTCAAAAGACACAGAACATCCTTGAGTATTTTCATACAGCACATGGACAGATACCAGATCCTATGATGGAAATATCTTCTCCAAACCTTTGCTCTCTATTAGTGGTATTGTGAACCTGGGCAAGTCATTAACCTTCCTGGGGCTCAATCTCCCGGTCTATAAAATGGGAGGCATAAATAATAGTCCCTCCCAGAACTGATGTGAACATTAAATGAGCTAACGTGTCACCAGTGGGGTTTGTTTAGTGAGCCATACCGAAAGGTTTCCAGCCAAATAACACTGCACGCATCAGTGAATGTGAAGCTGCCCCCTGGGTTACTCCTGCCAGCTCTCTGCTTCCCCAGCTATGATCCTACCTCCGTGCATTCTCTCATCTCCTCTGGGTTTTATGGTCCTGTGTAGAGTAACCTGTGTACTTCCTATATGCCTGTATTTTATAATTATAGGCAGTGGAATTTCAGGAATGTTTGCTTGTGTCTAACATATTTTGAGTCTCACTGTTTTTGAAATATGCCCTGAGTCACTGTTTCCGTTTGTTGCATTTACATCGAAGTCTATCGGCAAAGATGGCTGTGGATTTACTCCATACATTAAGACCACATTGCCTTGATTAGAGAATTATAAAATAAAACACACTTGGTCATCAAACTATCGCCATTCACCATTTTTGCAATTCTTCTTCTTCTTTTTTTTTGGAAACTGTAAAAATACAGGGTGCTTTCCAGATATTTGCATATACTCAGAATGGTAAAAGTAACTGATAGATCTAAAAATACTATGAAAAGAATCAGACGATTTCATACGCCATGAAGCAAGAAGCATCAGCTTTTAAAGCTTCTGGTTCCAGGACTGGGAGGGATGACAATGGAAGATGCCTTCTCTAGATCTTCCCTGAAAAGGGGAACAATTCAAATCCCAACAGTGTAGTGCTGGGGTCCTAGTTCCTTCACGTGCCGGGTACATTTCAGGGGATAAGTTTACAATGATAAAAATGGCATCACAGTATCTGACTCATAGATTTGGTTCTGTAATTAACTCCTTCTCTGAACACCCATGAAGAGGGAGAGAGAGACTATTTAAATTTTTTTTTTTATTTTAAGGATTTTATTTATTTATTTGACAGACAGAGATCACAAGTAGGCAGGGAGGCAGGCAGAGAGAGAGAGGAGGAGGAAGCAGGCTCCCTGCTGAGCAGAGAGCTCAATGTGGGCCTCAGTCCCAGGACCCTGAGATCATGACCTGAGCCAAATGCAGAGGCTTTAACCCACTGAGCCACCCAGGTGCCCCTAGACTACTCAAATTTTTACAGATGCAAAATAAAATAAATGTCAGCAATGTTTCCACATTACGGAGTAAGTGTCCATGGTTGAGGAGAGGAGGAGTGCCCCCACCACTCCATAGCGGGATTCAGAAGTTTGCCATTTGCAAGCCTCTTGTCCTTCAGAAGTCTGTTTCTTTCTTTGTAAAACACAAAGGGGCAGGGGTTGAGGTTACAGGCTCCTGTCTGCTGAGGCTAGCTCCTAGAGTGTCTGTGAGAACCTACCAAGGAGAAGTTCGTGGAAGCGCTGTGAAAATGCAATCAATTATTACAGAAAGTTCAAACACTGCTATGCAGCTCCCTGCATGGGGCAGACACTCAGTAGTTCTGGATCCATCGAAGAGTCCTAATTTGCTGTCTTCCAGGCCTCTCTATTATGAATTGTCTTCCTCACCTAAGGCCGTGTTTAGAAGCAAACAATCTCTCTGGGCAAAAACCTGACCCAGAGTCTTGGGGCTTCCCCATGCCTTCGTATGCATTTGGGTAGCTTCTGTCACTCAAATGGTTCTAATCCCAACACATGCGTGCTCCGTGAAATGCCCACCGGGGTCCAGGGAACCCCTGATGGGAGTTTCCTCTATCCGCACTGAAGAGATTCATCCGCCAGTGGCAGGAAGATGGAATGTGTGTTCTTGTGCCCTGAACCTTCTCCTTGGTGGTGGGGAGGACAGAGGGATGTGGGCTCTAAGCAGTACCTGGCTTGCTGATGGGTGCTCAGAGGGGGAGCTGTGCTATCGCGATGAACCATGGGGCTGGAACCACAGAATCGGACTGACACTGGCTGCCTTGGTGTCCGGGCTCCCCCCATGCTTATATCCAGAATCACAGAAGTTTAGAGCTGGAAGAGATCTCACAAGGAACACGGAACCCTTTATGAAAAGTCCAAAGTCAAGACCAAACGAAGTAACTGCACACACAGAGCTAAAAAGCTAAATCTCCCACCGGGGATCCTTGCCCCTGCAGTACACTAACGACACTGCTCTTCCTAAACATGGGGCTTGGTGGCTCCTATATACTCCTTTAATGGCCGAGAGAGAGTGAGAGAGAGAGACTGAGTTGGCGTCCTCTTTCTTTTTTCTTTCCTTCCCAGCAAAAAACTGTTTTCTTCATCCTTATTTCTGGAGTTCAAATTTTCCATTTGTACCTGAAAATTTTCATTCAAAATCCTTTGATACCTCCCTAAACGGCTGTCATTAGGGTGCTTACTGCGTTCGTGACCCAAAATGTGTTCCCCTCCTCCATCACTGTTTTTTTTTTTTTTTAAGATTTTATTTATTAGCTTGAGAGAGAGAGCTTGTGTGAGAGAGAGCATGAGAGAGGAGAGAGTTAGAGGGAGAAGCAGACTCCCCGCTGAGCAGGGAGCCCGATGTGGGATTCGATCCTGGGACTCCAGAATCATGACCTGAGCTGAAGGTAGCCACTTAACAGACTGAGCACCCAGGCACCCCCCTACATCACTATCTTTTGTGTGGGTGAGAAAACGCCCGAGCATGGGCACCTGCTCTATGATGCTCTCACAGAGCCGCCTGGACACCGACATGGGGAACTTAGGCCAGCCTGCAGACATCACCTGGGTCTGTGGGTTTGCAGTCCGACTAGGGCTGCAACTCTGGTCACTTATTCATGGAAACAGATTTACATGGCAAATGATTAATAAATGCAGGTGCCTGGTCTATTGTGAGGGGTTTTTTCCCCCAATGGCGAATGTCTGCGTGTTTACTGTTTGTCATACAAACTCAGCCCCAGGAGGTTCATGTTTCTGTGTGTCGCCCACTTCTGCTTTATACTAAGTTACAGCTGGCTTTACGACGTGCATTTAGGGGGTTCTGTTCTTTGGTAAACAATTATGTGCTCTAGGAGCAGTCTGTGAAAGGTCTAGGAACCAATGCTCTCATTCCCAATGTAGCAGTAGGGGATTTCAGCTCTCAGAGCTTTAGAAAGTTATTGTTTTCATTTTCCACGGTCATTACAGGAAAATAGTCAATTCAGTGTTGCAGCCACGGGTCAGAGGCTTCAGTGTTATAAACCCAAACAGGGAAGTTGCTTCTGCATTTGTGAAACAAGGGTGAGAGAATTTGGTCATACCTCTGCCCCCTGACAAAGCAGCCACCAGTGGGGAAGGCTCTCTTCTCTACACCTGTTCTCTCTAAAAGCGCTAGGACCTGGAGACCCACCACAGAGGACAAAAAGTATGATTACTGGGTGAATGTCTTCTGTCTGACCCACTTCATTCCCAGATACAGTGTTCATCTGTTGATCGCCTAAATATGCCAGGTACTGTGAGAGGTGCTGGGGATATGGACTGTGTCAGGCAGGTGAACAGGAAAAGAAATCTATTACCAAGTGATACCGCCTATGGTTAAGAAAGCATAAAGGGCAAGAGCCACACACATGGCCGATGTGTTACTGCTCTGGAGAGGAAGAGAGAATGCTCCAGAAAGGCAGAGGCTTTTGAATTTGAGCTAGTCACAGGGGTGGGTAGGGAAGGGATTTTCCAAGAAAGTGCAAAGGCCAGGAAGCAGAAGGCAACAGTTCACAGTGGAAAGTCCAGTGTTCCTCAAAGTCGAGCGTGTTGTGGGAGCAGGTGATGGCAAAACAGGCTAGATAGACAATGAGTCTGGAAGGGTCTCCAACACCAGGCAGCTTTGGGGAGGTTGGCGGTAGGGGCAGGGAGATGATGGAGGAGGTCCTGACATTATCCCAGGCTTCAGCTACAGTTGTGCAGGGGGGGCAAAGGGAGGCAGATGAGATGAGCCATGTAGAGGGAGGGGATGAACGAGATGGTGTGAAGAGGGAGAGTGAGGGGCTGAGAGCGGGAGGGGCTGAGAGCGGGAGGTCTGAATGTGGAGCCGGAGGGGTGCTGATTAGGCTCCTCCAGACAATGGGAAATTTCTTGGCCCCAAGATTGCAGTCTCAATTCATGCTGCTTATGGGGCTGGGCTCCCCTCCCCTCCCCCACTCTTGCAGATCTCTCCGTGTCCACTGGCCCAGCATGCAACCTGGTGAGAGACTAGCCCGGATGTTCCTGTACACCCTGTGCAGGGAGGCACGGAAGAGCCCTTAGCACAAACCCGGTCCCTTGAACTCACCGTGAGCAGGTTGATCAGATCCATGTTGGGTTCTAAGTGGTGGGAGGCGTTCTGCAGGGACACCAGTTCACTCAGAGTCACAGAGAGCTGGTGCATTTTTACAATGTTCACTTTGTTGTCCTCTGTCCAGTCTGGGAAAATGACGTGGACCGCTATCAAGTCTTTCAAGTGCACGCCGAGGATGGGGATCTTGAAGCCCTCGCAGTCTGCAAAGGCCCTGCGGTAGCTGCAGTAATTGCCGTTGGAGGAGACCAGCTCTGTCATTTCGTGCCAGTTCTGGGAACGGATGGGAAAGGAGAGGTTTCAGTTTTCCTGTCCACCAACCCCCGTGTGCATCTGCTGTGTGCAGCTAGGACATTCCTCGGCCACTGAGAGAAGCATCGATCGAACCAACACTGATGCAGGGAAATATTAACCTGGGAAAAGAAAATTAGAGAAATGCACTGGGCCTGGCTAGGAGTGGGGCAGCCTGTTCTATTTCACTGCAGAGCAGAAACCTCCCTGCACCTCTACCTGCCTGCTGGTGATGTCAGGATGTTAAATGACATGTAATAGCTATAAGTAGTTTGCAATTCATGGAAATCTTACAGTCCACAAATATAACCATGTATCCTATTAAAATATAGTAGGTACTATATTGGTGTGTCCTAGTTGTTCTAAGAAAGTTGCATTCATGGTATTACTTGAAGGTTAATCTGGGACAGGATGGGGTAGGAAAAGCCACTCTTAGGTGTGAGATAGCTAGGGGTTTGGGACTCTGCTACTAACTACAAGTGTGACCTTGAGCAAGCAACTTCATTTTGAGGGGCCTGAGTTTTCTTTTCTGTAAGAAGGAAGAATTCAAATAATTTTCAAAGATACACTGGTGGTTCCAAGCCTCTAAGACCCTCTACTGAATTCTTACTCTTCACAACATGTAAAATGTGTTTTGCTCTTTACTTGAAATTCAGTACAAAGACAAAGGATATTAAGACACTTAGATAACGAGCCCCTTTATGCTTTGAATGAGTGTTTTAGGTCAGACAGCTGTGTATCTTGGCTTATATCCTGCTGTTTATTGTTAGTTGCCTAACAGCAACCAGACCTTTGTAATAGACCTCAATTTCCATGGGGCTATACTTTCTCCAAACAGCCCATGTGACTCAGATGGAGCTGCCTCCATTCCCAAGTCCAAGGATGGGTTCTGATTTACCATCATCCCAATTCTATCCCCTCTGATTTTTGATTGGTTCAGGAGCACAGACCTAAGCCAATCAGTACATTATATTTCTCTAGCCACTGTGATTGGCCCAGTGATGAGCATGGAACTTGAGGTGGGCCAAGCTGCCTAAAAAGAAGGTCTTCCATTCCACCGGGCAGGGCTGAAGAGAGTTTTCCCTATCTCCAACTTTCGTGAACAAGAGCACATCATTTATGGAACACCTGGGTGGCTCAGTCGGCTAAGCTTCTGCCTTCAGCTCAGGTCATGATTCCAGGGTCTTGGCATGGAGCCCCGCATTGGGCTCCTTGCTCAGCATGGAGCCTGTTTCTCCCTCTGCCTGTCGCTCTCCCAGCTTGTGTGCACTCTTTCTCTCCCTGACAAATAGATTAAAAAATCTTAAAAAACAAACAAACAAAAAAAAAAAAACAAGAGAGCATCATTTTCCTGCTGCTACAGATGGTCTAATCAGGAAGGAAGGCAGTCTAATGAAACGAATAAAAACCTGATCCTCCAAGGAAGACAGAGCTACTGAGCCAAGAGCTCTGACCAGACCATGCTTGGATCTGGCCCTGCCTCTGGACTTCCAGGTATGTGAGCTGACCCATTCCCTTACTGTTCCAGCAATTCCCAGATTTTTTTTAAACTTATAATTGAAAAGTGTCCTTACTGATAGAGCAAACTCCACACTTATAAGGAAATCTTTTCATAAGGATGCAATGTCCTTTTTCACTCAATAAAGAAAAATATTATTATAGTGGCCTGGAAACCAATGTGGCAGAAAAAGCTCAGTTTGGGAAATGATCACTGTTTTTTCAAAAATACATTTTTTTCCCTGAAAACTCATTTATCAATCTGAGGGATTTCTGGACAAGGTCTACACCTGCCTCTTCCTTTGTCTCTTTCACCGTGCTGAACACAGGGCCTTGAAGAGAGCAGGTGTTCAACGACTTCATTTGAGGAGGGTAGGAATGACTTGTCTTATTCATCTTGTATCACGGGGCCTGTCACACAGTAAGCATGAAATGCACACTAGTACTTACAACTGCAGTATGTTTATGGTATTCAAGGCCTTCCTACTGGGACACTTGCCACCACTTCCAATCTGTTTTTCCAGCCAGTGTGGCTACTCCCTTCCTATTTAATTCTCCATGTGTAACCAATCATCACCTAAGAAGAAAACTTGCCCCTCCGAGTGACATTTCTTAGGAGCATCCTATCCCTAAACAACTTACAGATGAGTTTTTTACTTAAGATTAGGATCTAATCCACTGTTACCTTTGTAACTTCTGAAGAAAGATGAGAATGGGTCTCCTTGAGGCGTGAAATGGAACTGTGACTAAGGCCTCCCACCACCGCCATCAGAGTGTTAAAATTTTTTAGCTGGAGGAGCTTCTGCAATAAAAAATTTTTTAAAAAAAGTTAAAATCAATACTTTGTAACAATTTTTCAGTTATTCTGGTCTATCTGAACTACAGGTGAATGCATGCACCATTTCAATAACAAGGATCAAAGAAATATGTCATCAGTTTAAAATAAAGTACAAATGCAATCCACCAGAAAAATATGCCAATAATTTTACCAAAAAAAATAATTATAGTAAGTTCTTCTAAGTATTGCCAATTAAAAGCAATCTTCTCGCATGATAGCAGTATGAGTTGTTCACCAGATATTAAGAATACTTTAATTGTCCTTTAGATTGTAAACCACAAATTTCTTCAACAGCTTTTCTCTAGAGTGAACGAACATTCCTTTAAGAACCCTGTCCAAGGGACACCTTGGTGGCTCAGTTGGTTAAGTCTCTGCCTTCAGCTCAGGTCATGATCCCAGGGTCCTGGCCTGAATTGGGAATCCTTGCTCAGCAGGGAGCCTCCTTCTCTCTCTGTCTGCAGCTCCTCCCTCCTATGTTCCCCCCAACCTCTCTCTGACAAATAAATAAAAGCCTAAACAAAACAAAACAAAACAAAAAACCCAAAACCATCTAACTCCAAGACATACATACCTTGGCAACGTTGATAAACTTTGTAATGACTTCTGCCCTTTGCTGGGGGGTTGGTTTGCTAAGAACCATCAACTGGACCCACTTAGAGATTCCATTAAATAAAGTAATAGATCTCTCCAAGGTTGGGTTATTCTCCAGGCAGCCATGGATGACATAGCTTTGGTAATCAGTGAACTAGTAAAGGAAGATTCAGAGACTCTGAATTAAAAGGGAGCCTTTGCAAAATCAGAAATTAGAATGTTGGATGGAAGATGTGGGATATTGTTTCATAACAACATAATGATTTCTTTCATTTCACATTTATAATGGCATCTTACAAATTTGAATATACATGTACCCTTCACATATTATTTTGCTGTTTCACTCCCCCATACACAGATACATACTTATACATCACAGCGTCAGGGGTGGGGTGGGGAGGGACAAGATTCCAAGTCACATTCCAGTGAGTCCCAAATTTGCTGGATCGTGAGATTCACCTGGGGCATTTGTGTTATAACCTCTTGGTTTCTGGGAACCCTAGAGACCTAAAGGATCAATCTCCAGAGGAAGAACCTAAGAATCTCCATTTTTCAGTCACTGCTGGTGATTCCAGTGGTCAGGCAAGTTTGAGATACAATGGCATACATTAAAGAAAAGGAAATGGGGGCGCCTGTGTGGCTCTGTACATGATCCCGGGGTCCTGGGATTGAGCCCTGCATTGGGCTCTCTGCTCAGTGGGAGGCCTGCTTCTCCCTCTCCCACTCCCCCTGCTTGTGTTCCCTCTCTTACTGTCTCTCTCTCTCTCCCTGTCAAATAAATAAATAAATAAATAAATAAATCTTTAAAAATAAAGGAAATAACTATATATATATTTTCTTAAAAATAAAGGAAATAAATATATATATATGTCTTTATATATCTTTATATATATATATATATATATATATATATATAAAGATTTCAAGTCAGAATAATTCTGTAAAGATTTTTCAAGAAAAAAATAAAAACAGCAGTTGAAGTAAGGTAGCTCCTTAGCAAAACAAACACCTTTTCAGGAAGTCATCATGGATGTCATCAAATACATACGAGCCTTCCATCATATAAACAGTGCAGCGGGTTCCCTCTCGTGGCCTGTTGGTGGAGAACCATGAAGGTCCTCTCCAAGTAGGATTATTTATTGAAAAGAATCTGTGTTTCAGAAATCCATACTTCTAACTTCATGTTCTTCTTTGCAACTAATAATGTAATTAACTCTCTGGCATCTTGGAAAAGTAGGAAGAAGAATGGCTGCCCCAGAGCTTGGTGAGACAAAGGCAGATTATGAGCCACTGCAGAAATATTATCATAACAAGTGGATAGAGAGTAGGTGGCTAGGAAGAGACAAGAGACCATACTCAGGAGGAAGAGATAGGAGGTGGAGAAGGAACACTATCAAGACAGAGTAGGAAAGAAAGGTTTAATTCAGGACCTCCATTCTTGGGAAAGAAACGACCTAATGGAAGATTCTTTTTTTTTTTTTTAATTTTTATTTATTTATTTATTTTTTAAAGACTTTATTTATTTGACACACACAGAGAGAAATCACAAGCAGGCAGAGAGGCAGGCAGAGAGAGAGGGAGGAGGAAACAGGCTCCCCGCTCAGCAGAGAGCCCGATGCGAGGCTCTATCCCAGGACCCCGAGATCATGACCTGAGCTGAAGGCAGAGGCTTTAACCCACTGAGCCACCCAGGCGCCCCCAATGGAAGATTCTTATCAAAGCCTACAACTCTTATTTTCAACCTACACCCATAATTAGGCATTTACAGAAATCCCAACCTCACTAAAGATTTCTTCCCTCAAATGAAGGGCCTAGCAAAACACGTTCACTTGGGAGAAGTCGGTGGAGCTCCATAAACCTTGAATGGTTAAATCTCCACTGAGTATTTAGAAAAATCATGCTTTAATCCTATGAAAGGAGACATTGAAAATAGCGACAGATATATAGCTCCTAAGCCATAAACTAAAGACAGGATAATATTTATCTTTGGTTAAAAGGGATTGTTCCTGTGAATTCAGGGCACTTTTCCAGTGGAGCACAATGACGGGGCTGCCAACACTTCAGAGTATGAAAACGCAGCTCTTGGGAAAGTTGGCATGGTGGTTGTTATCCTTGGAAGAATAAATGTCAGTTTCTTACTGAGATCCTTCTAAAAGATTTATGCTCCAGAAAAGTGAGGTGCTCAGCCAATTCAATGGGCTCCAGATGGTCAAAGAGCAGACAGGCTTTTCCCTTCTTGGATACTTTTTTCCTCTGTGTGACTCTTCTCATCCAGTCATAGGAAGGACTATAAAAAAAAACAGTGAGTCTGGTCAATGTGCTGAAAGGCCATTTCATTCGATGGAAGTTATTAACCTACTGACTCTGTAACTCTTGGCCTGCTTCCAGGAGCGAAATACACGCCCTGTCCTTCATATTTGAAGAGAAAACCACTGACCCATTGCCAATAGAACAGAAACTTTGAGTTGTTTTTCCAGACAGGGTGGGTTTGCACTGATCCATCAAGAATTTCTTACTTGCTCTTTCTTATGACCGGTAAGGTTGGGATCACAGGGGAGAGGTTTGGATTAGGTATATAAATTTGTCAGATTATCAATACATAGGATGGTGATTTAAGGCACACGAAAGCCACTAGAAGTTGGTTCTCACACTTCAGCAACATATGGATGATCTGAAAGGCTCATGATAAAGACAGAGGTCTGACCTCACTGCCGGAGATTCTGATTAACTAGGAATGAACCTGAATAATCTCTATTTTTAACAACATCCCCGATGATTCCTGGATCATGCCACCTGGATCAAGATTCTTGAAGAGGTATTCTAGGAAAATGGACTAGAATATGAATGCCCACAATACAAGAGCTTATCTTTGCAAGACGGATAACCATACTTAGGGTCATTAAATAGTTTTCTCTGTGCCAAGTTAATAGTAGATATAAAATGTCAGTCTCATTAGCACTGAGTTCCTAATAACTGAGCTAACCAGCGGGGCCATCACTACTCCCTCCCCCAACAGTGGGCTCATCATATTGGAAAGAAGCGTGAGCCACTCTTACATGCTGGATATGTCGATGAGGCTGATGTGCTTTTCATATCCTAATTGACTAGCTACTTCCCGAAACTCTTCAGTCATACGGATCAAACCAAGGTCCAAGTTAAACTCTGCAGGAAACTTGAGAATCCAGTACCTGAAAGGCATCAAATAGTCTTGATGAAGAGAAGATTTCAAGCTAGACCTTTATGGAAAATGTTGTATCATTTTACAGATTACATTTAACAATGAACCTAGGACCATACCCCAAATTAGCAATCTCCTATTCCCCACCGATGACACAGAGTCTCACTCTTCCCTCCTTCAGTTAAGGACCCAAGCCTACCACTCCCACTCTGAACCTCTCTTTCTGACCCTAAGTCCTGAACATCTGGACTTGCACCTAAGTGCTGAGACACAGCTGAAATCGAACGCTTCTCCCAACTCATGGCAACTAGGTGGGAAAGCATATGGTGGGAAAATAGAAAAAAAAATGAATTTACTCTTTCCAAGAGCTAGTTTTATTCCCTAATCACATGTGCTACTGCTTAATCTCTAAAAGAAAGATAAATTCTACTCCCAGGAACAGAGGAAGGCCAATTTAAACAAAATCGGTAAAAGGGGCTTGGGGGTGGGAATCTGAGTCAATTCTATTGCCAAACTAGGTCTACTGTCTGGGGGGAAAGAAATGGTCAACAATTCCAGAACCATCCACTGCAAGACAATTACATGTATATTTACCTCATGAAGTAGCAGATCTTTAACCGAAATTCATCACAGGTTTCTCCACTGGCATCTCGATACGTGCACTAGTTAAAGAAAAAATCCCTGCACCTTGTTTCCTTTGCCCACACCTGCAGCTATCTGACCAATTTAGATGAATTCCTAATACAAAGGCCATAGTGGGGACATCTGGGTTATGTGGGCATTCAGATGGGGAGAGAATGGGCTCTGACGATGTCAGCAATGAATAATCGTCACCTACACACTACTCAATATTGAGACCTGGGGATTAGGATCTTGCTCACTTTCAGGGACCTCTGTTCAAGGCGAATGTCCCCTTACCCTCTCAGACATCCCCTCCTGCCCTGAGGTTGTTGGGAGGATGGAAGGGAGAAGTAGGAAGTGAAGGAAGCTTGCAATGAGCAGATGGATGACCACATGGCCCTAATAATCAGACCTTCTGCCTTTCAGGCTCCTCCTACCCCATAAGGCTTCCCAGTCATCTGCAAGGTACCCTGGGCTTGAAGCAGGCTGAGACTGTAGGAACCAATATTAGTGGTTGCATAATCAACATTAGATCTCTGAGAATAAAATCACCTTTTAAATCTAAGAGTGTTTTGTCATTTTGAGTCATTTGGCTTTCAGTCACCTTTTAGGACTGCTGTATGTTCAAAGGTGGTAGACTATTAAAGCCCTTATTATAGAATGGAGTCTCTAACTAGGGGTTTTTTTCCCTGTTTGTTTTTGCTATTATATCAGAAGGAAATCTGAAATTAAGATCAATGAACAAATTCCAATAAACCGCTAGAATGTTCTTTGTGTCTTGTAATCAAGGGAAGATGTGAAAATTCAGGTGCTGTTTGTGCCTGAGCCAGATCTCATTATTTTGGCTGGCATTTCCATATGTCTAAATTGTATCCTCTATGTCCATCATTTTGTCATCCCAAAAGGAATAAATTAGGTCTGGAATCAGTGTTGACTATTCTTTCATTGTACTAACAGCAGAAATGTTTAAGTCAAGTTAGAAACAGTCAGCCTACAGCTTCCGTTTCATTTTATATCTAGTGATTATTTTTCAGTAGAGCCAAAACATTCAGATGGATAGTCAACTGTTTGGTCCATCATCCAGATGTCTTGTCTAGACATCTATATATATCCACAAAACAGCTGGAACACTGACTAAAGACTATTTATTCATCTTAATTTACCGGCTTTTGTTAGACATTCTATCTAAATACAGAACTTGATTTATGATTGTAAAAATTACACAGTAGTTGAAAAGATATATGCAGAGAAGTTTTTCTGCCAATTCAGTGGAAGATAAATACCATCGGTGCATCAGTAGAACTATTCTTGGCAAATAACTATTATTCAGCTCTCCATTGTCATCTGTTAAAAAATAAAATAAAATGAGGGGTGTGGAGACAACAGTGCACTCTTCTCTTTTTCTAATAACAGTAGAGAAACATCAGTGTCAAAAATTTCTCATAGACCCAATTATTGTTTTCCTCCTCCTTCCACTGGTACTTCCTTGCAAGTCAAGTGGATGGGTGGGGGCAGGGGGGGGTTCACCCTCCCTCTGGTGTTGGATTACCAGATTCGGCAAACTGAAGTTCAAGACACTTAGTTAATCTGAATTTAGGTAAACCACAGATAATTCTTTAGTACAGGTATGTCCCATGCATTATTTAGGACATGCTTACACTAAAAATATACTTTATCTGAAATTCAAATTTAACTGATCATCCTGTATTTTATCTGGCCATCCTACTCTGGTCTAACTCTTCCTGTAACGATCAATTTAAAAAACAATTAAAAAAACAACCATTTTATGACTCTGTGCAAAGAATAATCTGAAATGGTGAGGTGGATATGTAAACAACATTAGAAAGCATACAGCTATAACGTCTGTAAACTACTAGGAGATATAAGACATACATGCAAAGGTAGAACGCAGCAGATTATGCTACTTGTCTGAGTCGAAAGACTGAGAAATGATCACAGTACCATGGGAAAGTCACAAAGAGCTGTGGGAGGAAGCAATCAGCATTCCTGACAGTGGAGATTAGGAATGGTATAATGAACATCTGACCGGCTTCTGAGATGAGCCCTGAAGTAGAATTTCAGTGAAGGCAAAGAGGTAGAAAGATGCAGGAATATTCCAGAAACATTAAAGTGGACAGGATGCTTGGCATATTAGCTGTGGGCATTAAAGGGAAGGAAATGCACATGGCAGTGTTACTGGGGAGACAGACTGGAGTCAATCAAAAAGGACTTAAATGCCAAAGATGGAGACTGAATTCTGTTCCACAGCAATCTGAATAGGGAGAAGTGAGAGTATCAAGGTACATCAAAGGGAGAAAGGGCTCATACCAAACATCTCAATGCAAGTTCTCAACAGTTCATCTAAGGTCGCTGCTTTTCCAAGTCCACTTGACCCCATGGTTATTTAGCCGCTGTCAAAAAACTAGATACATTTTCAGCATCAGATAGACCATCTCCATAATCACGTGACTTGGTAACGTTTGTGCCACTACTGGTGTCTGTTCTCAGTCATACTTCAAGACTCTAAAGAAACAGGAAACGGAAGTTATCAGACCTCATTAAGGCATCACTTTTCCACGTAAAAAGATAAGGGCTTCCATGACTGTATCTTTCTAGAAGAAAAGTCTCCTAGTGAGAAAGTCCATCAACCACCATGATGGTCAAATGCCTTCGCATGGAGGGCACCCCAGAATGACCAGAATGTTCTGTGAGGTACCATTCCATTCTGCAGCTGACATTTTCTGGATACAGTATCTTACACTTTCTTCATATTCTTAAGTGATAAGAGAGCCATTCAAGAATATTATAAATGTTACTCGGCTTAATATTATTACAAGTATATAGGAGGTAAATTTTAAAGTGCAAATATATTGATACGCATCATCTGCAGTGATCATATAAACATTCGACAACTGATTTAAAAAATCTTATTTGCCTGATTTCTCTAATAGTAACACTAATAGTAGTAGTGAAAGTATTAACAAAAACCAACTGAACACACATTCTGTACCAGGTGCCATACCAAATGCTTTATGTGTATTATCCAACTTGTCCTTCATAATAATAACATTATGGCCAACAGAATCATACTCCATAACAATGCTAACTAACAAAAGTAATCATTATTCCCAGTTTACAGATGAGGTCATGGGATTTGCAGAGATTCAGCAACTGGTCTAAACCTACACAATTAGTGAGGCCTAGAATCAGGACTCCATTGTAAAATAAAGTTTTTACTTTCCTTTCCCTCCTTTCACTGCTCTCTCAAGTAAGGATATCATAAGCTGTCATAATTTTGCCCCCTAGTCAGAAAGGGACATAGCTGAATGAGCTGTAGAAGAAAAATGTGGGTATGACAGAGGTCCTATTTTACAGCACTGTCATGGGAAAAATGGGGATTAGAAACAACCTCTTAGAGTTCCTCATACTAGAAGTATTGCTGTTGGAAACACCACCATTTTATTTTACAAAGTCCCTGTGACAGTTCTATACAGGGCCTAGGGAAGAGAGAGGTTATCATGATGTAACAAAGTTATCAATGTCGGGTAGTTTAATAGGTAAATGTGGCCACTGGGCATTAATCTCATAAACTGTTTGAAGTCAATGTCTATTTTACTTTCAAAATTTATTTATTCAACTGGTAATCATTGAGCACCCGACAAATACCAGGCACTGGGCTAAGCCCTGAGTCTGGCAAGATGAATAAATCATTGTCCCAACCTACCTTCAGTAGGCTCAAAGTCAACTTCAGAAAGCAAACACATGAATGTATAGGGAAAAAAGCTAACGTCCACGTGTATGGTTGTATTAGTTCAATCAGACCACCAAAGAGTGATATTTGAGTGGATCTGTGCACTAGGCATACAACTCCAAGGAAAATGTTTTACCATGTATTATTTCTGTGTAAAAACCATATTCTTGTGCTGAAGGTGCCATGCTCCAAGCATAAAAAGTCAGATTATTTCACATGTGCGGTAAAAATAACAGAAACACTGGATCAGGGCTCTCCCACTTCTGCTGCTCAAATGATTTGTGAAAGGGAAATATTAAAGATGTCTGGGACCAACTCTTTTTACATCTCTTCACCAGGTTACCTTATCAGTGAGACCTTTCCTGACCACCCCATTTAAAACAACAAGACCTCTCTCCCCACACTCACCTCCTACATAGCATGCCCTACCTCACCTCCTGGATTTATTTTTCTTCATAACAGTTATCCCCATATGACGCACTATATATTTTACTAGTCTATTTGTTTTGAAATCTCTCTAGCGCTATAAACATAAACTCTATGAATGCAGGGATTTTTTTGTGTTTTGTTCTCTGGTGGACTCCCCAACACCAAAGATTTTGTCCCTCACAGAGAAGATACTGAGAAAAGCAATTGATGGATTAATGAAGAAGTGGATGGATGGATGAAGAAATGAAGAAAATAAGGAAGTGTAAGAAGTTTGCCTTTTTAAGTATATATTTGTATGCACGCATACTATAAATTTTTTAGTTTGTTTTAGTAAACAGCCTGGGACAGGAGTTCCTGCCAGCTTTCTAGACTTAATAGGACCTGTCTGTATTCATAATAAGAATTTGATATCTCTTCCAGGACATTTGGGGGCAACACTTCTCTTATTTCCCTAATATAAATTCTCTCAATCCCATTAAAAGTCAAGATTGGACAACTGACAGGTTTGATTCTCCTTCATGTCTATACAGACACGTTTTATCTTGTTAACTCTTGTTACTGAATAGTAGATATATTACTTAGAACCAAAGGGCTTAGATCAGCTAAACTAGATTCTCAGGTCAAAACCAAAATTATTCAGCTGATCTACTTGAGGAAGTTATTACCTTTCCATAAGGCGTTGGACATAACCTCGTACCAAAGACCTGTCACCGTGTTTGGAGTTAGATTTGTGATCCGCAATAAAGCCAGCACCTGAGGGCCAGGTGGGCCAGACTACCCAGTTAAAATCTGTCTCTGCAGTCAGGAGATGTGTCTGTGCCCCTACTTAGCATTCTGTCACCTGTACATGTAGTTGAGGTCTCATTTCATATGTGTGGCTATTATTGTGTCTACAACTGATTTTTTCAACAGTAAAGCTTCTTTATTACAAAAGCAATATATATTCTTCATTTAAAATAGGACAGAAAGGAAAAAGGAAGGAAAAATATGTTACCCATCATCTCATCATCATGATTGTTAATATCATAGCACCTTTCTTTTGGTTTTTCTAGGCATATTTATCTTGTCAAGCTTCTCACATCATCTACAATGGTTTACAGAAATACTTACCCACTGGCTTTACACTGAAAGATCTCCAGGTCTGAAAGAATTGTAAGGGCAGTTATCATCCTTGGAAAAGGTGCTGGGGATGCAGTCAGCAGAACCGGTTTATCCAACTTGAATTATAAGTACTTTGGAGAATCTGATAAAAGAACATAAAGAAATCCCCAGACAGAGTTAAATAATAGAAGCCCCAAAGAATCCATGTGGTGTTAAAGGACTTCCAAAACCCTTGAGTTATAGGTGGTATTGAGATTTTGTCTAAATTTCATCTACAAAGTCAATTTAAAAAGAAAATTATTCAAAATAGTTATTTGGTGACATGATATTTTTAAAATCAAGTAGTTTTCCTTTAATTCAGCCTATTACAATTCTTCAAGTGTGGCAAAATTGAAATTTATACACATAGTATAAGATACTATTTTGGTCCAAATATACTTCTATTATTGGAGTACTCCTTAAGAATTTCCAAACACTGACCTTGGAGTGTTAGTAAATCTCCAGAATAGTTTGTTGTGGTGATCATCAAACTCTGACTCTAAATCACTCCTTACTGTCTCAACATGAATGTCAATGTTATTTTAGTCCAGGTTGTTTAGTCTCCCAATGGTTTGGGACTTGCTTTAGTGTTGATAGGTACTCTCTGGCTGCAAGGAAAATTATTGCTCCCCAGCATACACATTTTCTCGCAAGTTTGAAAAGGACACCATAAGCCAAAATTTCCCCAGGGCTTGAATTACTTCTAAGAGAGAGGTTCTCACTTCAAAAGGGCAATAGATTTCTGTTGGGTGTGATTTCCAAAGGCTATGATGTATTCATGCAGCAAAAAGGCTTTCACTAACATGAACGCCTCTATCTTCAAATAAATCCTTGTGAGGTTGTCTAGGACAATAAGAACTATGCTCCCAAGTTTAGAAATAGTAAAAAGGAGCCAACTCCATGCAGCTGTCCATTAAGAGACATAAATTAGCACCCCAGCCTCTTGACTCAGAATCTTGGATTGGATTTCAACATTAGATAAGCAAATGGGGAAAGTTTTACTTACCTCTGAGTAAAATGCCATTAATCCTGCTTTCTTTGCTAGATTGTTGAAGGAATTATAGAGGTAATGTAAAATCTATCCACTGTATGTCTTCTAAAACACTGGGTGTTCAGGAAAGCTGTCCCTCTTTGCCCACACTACCTCTTCCCTTCCAATATTTAAGGGTTTCTAAGTTGAGGACTTGGGTGAAGTAGAAGACATATGTTTGAAGTGACAGGAAGAGAGATGTTAAGTTAGAGAAGGAAAAAGGAGAAAAAGTATTGTGACACTAGAGCTTCTAGGAGTAGGGAAGGTGGCCTCATCAACAATGGAATCTCATTCTTGAAAGTTCTCAAGCCAAAGTAAAGTAATGACTATCAGAGATGTTGTAGGCTTAATTCCCAGATGGTGTCTAGGAAGCATGCCAGAATGACAGCAAAGGTTGCTCCTGGCTCCAGGACTGTAGGATTTATAAGGTGAAATATTATATCTAGTGAGTATTCAATAAACAGTTTTGAAATGATGTTGGCCCTATTAGAACTTCCAAAGGTAGTCTTGTCTATAGCATTATCTCTATTGCAATAAAAAAAAACTAACAAAAACCCGTAAATACTCTTTCCTCCTAATGGCAGATATTGTCTTTATGTATTAATAACCACAAACACGTCTTTGCTTTTTTTGACCCTCATACAGAGATAAGGGGGGGGTTCTCTAAATGCCTAAGTCATTAGTGAAAATGACTGTTTGATTACAAACCTTTAAGCCTACGGATTAACATAGCATTTGTTGTTCTGGCCATGTTCAAGCTTAATCTCCATTTCTCACCACAGACATGAGATCTGAAAGGTGCTGTGATTATATTCTCTGAAACTCCATGGGAGAATCAAGACTATTAAGTTTAGTAAGAGAAATGATAGCAAAACCCTGAAAAACAATCAAGTTATTTGACAAATACTGAGGATCTATTAGACACCAGATACTAAGCAAGATACCAGAGTAGCTGGTAAAAGAGATTGGGAGCAAACAGAGAGAAGGATAAATTGGTGAGCAAGAAAGACATAATTCTTTTTTTTAACATCTTAATTTTATTTTTTTCGTGTTCCAAGATTCACTGTTTATCCACCACACCCACTGCTCCATGCAGTATGTGCCCTCCTTAATACCCTCCACCAGGCTCACCCATCCCCTCTTCCCCCTCCCCCTCATAACCCTCAGTTTGTTTCCCAGAATCCAGTCTCTCATCTTTCGTCTACCCCTCTGATTTCCCTCAATTCATGTTTCCTTTCCTTCTGCTAATGTCCTCCATGTTATTCCTTATGCTCCACAAGTAAATGAAACCATATGAAAATTGACTTGCTCTGCTTGACTTATTTCACTCAGCATAATCACCTCCAGTTCTGTCCATGTTGATACAAAAGTTCGGTATTCATCCTTTCTGATGGCTGTGTAATATTCCACTGTATATATCGACCACATCTTCTTTATCCATTTGTCTGTTGAAGGGCATCTCAGCTCTTTCCAGTTTGGCAATTGTGGACATTGCTGCTATGAACCTTGGGGTACATATGGCCCTTCTTTTTTCCACTACATCTGTATCTTTGGTGTAAATGCCCAGTAGTGCAATTGCAGGGTCATGTGACCCTGCAAGAAAGACATAATTCTGATATTCTAGCAAAGAATTAAACAAGTAATTACAATAAAGTATCCCAGGAAGGGGAGGAGCACTACTTTAGTCCAGGAGCCAAAGAAGTTTTAGCTAGGCAAAGAGTAGATAGGAAGATGGCAATAATGAAAAGCTGAAAGACATAGAATGATTGAAGTACTGAATGTGGCGAGACATGAGACTAAGAAGTTCATAGGAGTAGCTCATGAACAGTACTGTAAGCTATATGAAGAAGTATGGGCTCTATCTGAAAGGCAATAGGAAACCATGATTTCAAAGATGAGTAAGAGTGTGGCATGATCCTATCTAGACTTTTTAAAGATTCCTCCAGCTGCAGTATGGAAAAGAGATGAGTAGAGATGTACACAGATGATCATGAAGCCCGTTAGTAGTCAGTTATGACCATCCAGGCAAGAGATGATTGTTATCTAAACCAGTATGTGGCAATAGAGATGAAGAAGACTAGTTGGTTACAGGATATAATTTGAAGATAGATCCAACAAGATTAGCTGCTCGAATGGTTTTGGGGACTGAGAAGAAAGGAGGAATCAGGGATAATGTCCAGGTTTCTAGCAAACCATTTGGTTGGGTTATGAAGCCATTCCCCTGAGACTGAGAAAACGAGGGGAAGGGAAAGGAGAAGGAAGTTCATTTTGGACAAATGATGAGTGCATTTTTAGATGTGTTGAGGTAGAGATGTCTGAGACATCCAAAGGGAAATGTTGACTTAGCTTCTGGATACCTATTACAGACTTCTGAATTGACACCTGAGCATATTTAAGTGCTAACAATCAGTGGAAAGGAAAATTTAAGGAACGGGAGAAAAAGAATTTAATCTATATAATAAGGTCCCTGAGAGGACAGAGGTGATGTACCCTTTTACAGGTGGAGGGATTTACCTTGGATAAGGTAGCAGGTCACCTTTTAAAATTTAACATGAGGAAAGAGGTGAGAAATGGGTAGAGGTATAGGTAGGTCTGTCCATTTGATAGTAGGGAGTCGAGGAAGTTTCTGTCTAATGACACATTTACTCTAAAAAGAAGGAGACAAGGTCATCTGCTGGAAGATCTGAGGTTTATCAAGAGGAAAAAAAAATATGCAGCAGATGTTATAAAGCACAGAAGAAACCAGAATTACTGGGCTATTTCCCATTATTTCCATTGAAAAGGCTGATGTTTCTCTTCTGGCATTTGTTTTGAAAGAAATTTAGTGTTCCCTGTTCCCTGGGTGACATCACTCACTTATGCCATGTTTCTGAAATTATTTAACTTTTCTGGAACAACTTATACAGCAAGTTCCTTCTTTATGAAGCAGGCAATTCTGAGTTAATGCCATTATGGTCTAGTCACATGTGGTTTCCATAACTCAGAGCTAAAGCATGGCTGGCATTTGCTAGGTAGTTTCATCACAAGGACATGAGTCCCTTCCATTTCACCTAGCTTTGCTTCAAATGGTGAAGAAGAAGACAGACACTATTGGAGAAGTCATTTGTCCCCCACCCTTTGTCTTGATCCAGGATACTGAATTCCACAGCTACAGCCTCAGCCACCATCCCCCTGTCTTGCACTTTCCCTGCTGGAACTTCTATCTCTCTCTGCCCCACCCCCCACGCACACTCACCAATGCCCTAATTATCCTTTACCTCTAAAAAAAGGTCATAAATCAAAAGATACATTACTGTTTCTTCTCAGTTCATTCTTCATACCTGGCATTCTTTGCTTATTTCTGTATTGGTGCTTTGTTTTTTTTTTAAGATTTTATTTATTTATTTGACACAGAGAGAGAGATCACAAGTAGACAGAGCAACAGGCAGAGGAAGAGGGGGAAGCAGGCTCCCCACTGAGCAGATAGCCCTACACAGGGCTCGATCCTAGGACCCCAAGATCATGACCAGGGCCGAAGGCAGAGGCCCAACCCACTGAGCCACCCAGGTGCCCTGTATTGGTGGTGTTTTAACTTTGATTTTCCTTCTCACTTCTTTCCACATTGCCTCTTAGTTCTTTGAATTGCTCTTTCTACCTTATTTCCTCCATTCAGTAACTCTTGTCATGGCCTCATTGTCATTATTGTTGATGTTGATTCTATCACAAACCAACCAGGATAGTACATACTGAGGAAATGAGTTTATTTATTTGCTTATAGCAAAGTTATAACATTTTAAGTGGGCCATTATGATGACCCAGAGAATCCAGTATCCCACATTTATAGAGAGTGGAGCAAAATCCCCAAAGGTTATTTAACAATGACATACGGAGTAGCTGTGGAAAATATTTTCTCAACTCTAGAGTAATTTTTTTTCATTTTTGCCTTGGATAGGTTTACTTAATGTGATAATGAGGTTTTCCTGGGTTTTAAACTTTCATTGTTGTTGTTTTTCTCCTACAAAGAGCTTTTCCTAAATCAGTAGGGCATTAATAATCAACATTGTTGTGGATTTTGTGTGTGTGTGTATTTTAGA